AAAATCCATAACTGGGGCATGGGATGCTGCACATGGCAAGTGGGAATTCATAGAGGAAAATAAAATCCCCAAGTTGGATTTTTTTTCCAAAGGGTCTGTTGGAAACAAGCAAAGCTGCTCCTTCCCATGCTCAGAGCAGAGAGCATTTGGGCTCAGTTCGAGAGTATCATTTTTTTTTTTTTTCTGGAAAAAAAAAAGTGTTGAGGACTCTGAGCTCTTCCACAGAGAAGCGCAGGCTGACCATTCATTTTTGCCTGCTTGCGTGTGAAAACATTCATGTGACACATTCCCATAGCAAAATCTGCAACTATACTGGAGTGAATCAAAGCAACCACGAGAATACAGCGGGGTCCTGAAAACCAGGAGCTGCCGAGCTGAGCCGACAAGCCCATGATTAGACAGCAGTCGCACTTTGTAGCGGTGCTCGACTCCTCACATCGCATCTGAGCAATACGTTGTGCAAACATCTGGCGCTCAGCAGCACCACGATGGCGGGGACGTGCGATCAGACGCTGCGTCCCGCGGCCCTGCGCGCATCGCTCCTCGCCGCCCATCCGCCGGGCTGGGGCTGCTCCGCTCCCCCTGCGTGCGGCTGCGGCAGAGATGAAGCAACTGGGAAATCAGCAAAGCAGCAAGCTGAGCGGTACAAATTGGTAAAAATTATTTAATGCTGGGAGGCTGAGCTAGACACCCCCTGGTAATACTGTCAATTAAGAGTACGAAATTAATATTAATTATCAATAATGAATTGTTTGCAAGTGTAATAATGAATAGAGAAAATACGAAGGAACTCAGCGCATTTCAGATGCAGAACTGTTGGCTGTCTGTGAATATTTTCTCTGAAATCTGTTTTGGTTCCATTAAGAAATACATTCATAATTATATTTTCTTAGTATTTGAGTTGCAAATCAGCCTAGACAGATCAGCGAGTGCCATAATGCAAATACATACACTGAAATTCTGTCTGATCCACAAAGTTATATTCATTAAAATTAAAAAAAAAATAATCGGAAAAAAGCCCACAGAGATGCTCAGCAAGAGCAGTCATCTTTGGAAAGGAGGAAATCAGCAGCACTTGGCAAATATTTTAACAAGAGAAGCACGTGCTGGAATATCGCTCGCAGCTCATGCTGATGTGCTGGTGCCTATCAACAGATTGCAATAACTTCTTTCTCAAGCCAAGTTAAAAAAAAAAAAAAAAAGCCAAAAGGAAAATGTAGATACACCTATAAGCAAAGAAATCATAGAATCATTTGAGCTGGGACACTGAAAGGTCACCTAGCACAACTCCCCTGCAGTGAGCAGGGACACCTCGATCAGGTGCACATCCACCACCTTTCTGAGCAACCCATTCCATGCCTCACCACCTTCACTGTCAAAAACTATTTCCTTACATACATTCATCTCTAGATCTGCTTCCCTCCACCCTCACCAGTCTTCAAAATGCCCTCACATGAAACCTGAGGTAAGCAGAGCCAAGTCCAACAGCACAATGACTCTTCAGCACCAATTTTTTTTATTTTTTAGAAACTTGCTGATAGACCACAAAACAATTTGTTGAGGTGAGGAAGAGAGGGCAATACCAGCTTAGCTGAGCTGAAACGTGGCACTGGTTTACAGGTTAGGAAAGCATTCGGTATCCAAATTCCAACTAAATATGGGTTTCCCAAGACTGGGCTCCAGTTCTTTGCTTTTTTCCCTTGTTTTTGCTTTGGTTTTGATTTTCCCTTTTAATTAAACTATTTCAGAGATCAAACAGCAAGCATAAAATCCAAAGGGCATAATTTTACCCCAAAAAGAAGAAAGCAAAGTGGTGGGGAGGGAAGCACACATGCTGGTGTTCTGACTGAATCCACCACTCAGAAGCTTCAGACAGAAATCAGTTTACATTAAAAGTAGCCAAAATCCTTTGAAATTTATGGACTGCAAGAAAATAATTCCAAATAATACAGGTCCTTTGACATTCTTCTCATTCTTTTTTTTTTTTTTTTCCTTAATAAATTGGTTGTAGTTTTATTCTTAAGCCCAAACCTTCTGCAGCTCACACCAATGCCCAAGGGAGAAGAAAGGAAACCTTCAGCTGGTGTACATGGTACACTGGAACGTAAAGGAATTGGGAGCATTTATGCCTAATAAAGGCCCGCTCCAGAGTGCTGCTCCAGATCCTCTGAATCCCTTCTCTTTCAGCAGAGGGGCTGCCTGAACGTCATTCACATTGCCCTTTATTTTTATCCATTAGACAAACAAATGAATGATCACATTTCTGCTGCGGACAGAAAGCAGACCCCACAGGCTATGTGCGGTTAAAAGAGCTCTTTCTACAGAGCAAGATAATACTTGAAAAGGTGACTGAAAAGACTTCAGCAAGGAGGAAAATGTCCCTGTAGGACCCTTCCTCATTCTGAGCTCTTCAGTAACGTCAGCCTCACTAATCCATACCTAGCTGCGAGTTCAAATGAAAAATTCATTAACTTTGTGTCCTTTAATTTATTAGGTGTAGCAACACTCCTCATCAGTGGAAGGGCTGCAAGGAGGAGGCAATCAGTGCTCTTTTATTCTTTCTGCAGATCTATGGGCTCACAAAGGGGAAGGGCTGGTTCGCAAGGAATTACGCTTGCCTAATTAGAAGGGCTGCTGGTTGCTCCGGCAGGCCTGCTGAAGGAAATGCAAAAGCTGCACCAAAGACCCAAAATGGCCACGGGAAACACCATGCTGGGACCAGCCAGCAGCAGCACCACAGCGAACATTGCACTGCGCAGTGGTACGCGCAGAGGGAGTAGGAACAAGAATAACAAGTTTTTTTACATGGCAAATCAGAACTGAAATCTGGACAGCCTGCACCACAGCAGGACTAGATGTGAGTTACGTGTGCTGGACAAAGCTGCCAGATACCTCTTGCATTCATCCTGTGGCACTACAGAACTACAAACTGCTCCCATCACAGTGCTGATGTGACAGTGCGGTTCTTTTCACATATGTCGTCCTTAGGTGACCTGCACCGGTGTCCCTTCCCTCCCTCTTTGGAAAGGGATAAACAATTATCCCCACTTTGTGCCAGGAAACACAGATAGTGAGCGGGGTGACATGGACTGCAGCCAGGGCAGAGCCCCAAGCAGAGCCCTGCCTCCTGCCTGCCAGAACCGGGACCTATTAATGCCTAATTAGTGTTTACATTTTCAAAGCAAAATGTAAACACGTATCTGCACCAGCCAATGCCAGCTGGGACAGGATAGCGATGTTATCCAAAAGCAATTTCCTTTCTTTTCACAGGGGCATCTCCAGGAGGTAGGAGCACAAAGCGGGATCCGGAGCGCGACAGCGCACACCGTGCATGCTCAGAGCAGCGGTGCCAGATCTCCAGTTATGAAACGAGACCAGCAACTGCTCAGACACAAATATAAGCTAAGTAATGCAGTAGGAAAAAGCACAAACCAAAAAAAATACCAAGGGTTCAACAGCAGTCAAATACGATTTCAATTATGGAAATATAAACTGTCTTGATAACCATCTGGATAAACTCTTTGAAGAAACAAATTATTGATACCAGAATCAATTGTTCTTTGGAACACCAGAGAACTCTGAACAGCTGTAAAAAATGTTCACAATGAAATCTGAGTCTGGTTGAGGTTAATCTGGGTTTAAATTTCTTTACAGATAGTAAAATGGAGTTCAGCTGGACTAGAAGTCCATGAAATCAGCCGGTTTCTCATGCCCATATCTTGCTCACAACAGCAGTACAAAGTCTATGGCTTTCAGCCCTCCACTCTCTAAACTCACGCCCTGTTGACCAAAATGCTAAGGATTTCCCACTTTTACCATTGGTACCTCTTGAAGGCTGGCAGCCAGCTTGCCTCATTCCCTGCATCCTGAGTTCTCCCACTGCAAGGACCACGTAGATAAACAGAGGAGGAATTCACATTACTGAGGATTTTCTGCTGCAATGGCTGATAAAGTAAATCTGCAAATATTCTGTCACTGATATTCCCAAAACCTCTGTCACATGGATGCTCATATAGCAACTGCTCATAGTTTGACAGGGGATGGATATGATTGGAAAAGGCCAGCTTATGTCTATCTATCATCAAATGCCTTTGAGGCTTTTTAAAAAATATTGGAAGTTAGGGAATTATAACATCACCAAAAGACAGAGAAAAAAGCGGTCTTCCTTCTCTCAGGGTCACTCTTGGAAGGAAATGTTTCAGACCATAGAAAAACAACCATATGCCACATAGAGAACCAAACATACATGTTATTTTGTGCCAGAAGCAGAGTCCTTTTGGGGTGGTGTAAAATGGCTATTGAGAAGAGCAGAACCAATGCAGAATATAGCCAACATATATACAGTGCAACATATATACAACAGTGCTTGTCTACAAAACCTGTGCAGTGGTAGGCTGTTTACAAGGTACAGTTTCTACAAGGATGAAGATTTAAACACATCTGACATAGTATTATCTCTGAGGCTGAAGACAGCTCTCCCATATTTCCCTAAATGGTGCATAACCTAAAACTATAAAAACTAATCTGGTTTCTTGACAAGAAGAAGAGATCATTCAGGCTCAAGTGAGCATTGCAGGAAGAAAGCTGGCAGGAGACTATGAGCTATATCAAGAACAGTAAATAACAGTAATATCCTTACTACTTCTCATCGTATGGTGGTGTTGAGGTCTTGGCACTGTGACAACGAAACTTCTGAAAGCAAAGGTTCTGGGGAATGCAGGTGGTGTTGCCTTGGCTTTGGTACTAAGCTGTAGCGACTTCTTCAAATGCAGCCATAACCATATTACATTCTCATGCAATTAAGAACATATTAATGACTCAAATCTATGCTTAATCTTTCTTTGACTTCTCCCTTAGTTTTAAACCCTGCTGAGCTCTTGAAACAAGGAGTTCCACACGTTATACAGAACATATGCAATTACATTAGCCTCAAAAACCAGCTTCTGATGTTTTCATGTTTATTGCCTCTCTCTTTCCTCGAGAGTTTTGACATTGTTAAACATGAAACTAACTATATAAAATGATTTTAGAAATTCTCAGAAGTGATAAGCTTTCTCAGAGGTGAAGGGCTGGAGTTTAGCTGTAGATTTACCTCCCAAAGACAAGAAGGGCCAGAGGGCCCCCAAACCAGTCTGCATCCCAAAGTGTAGCATTAACCCGTTATAGCCAGTGTGGTCACCCTTATCACAAACACATGAGCAGGTACATGACAGTGTTCCTGTTTACAATGCAAAAATACTATGCATTTTAAGCTGCACTTGTAGTTGTCTCTAAAATTTTCATTTGGAACTCAATTCTGTGGTTCTCCTCCATGCAGGGACAGTGGCTGACATGGAGCATGCTGGAATGACTGGCCCAGCTAAAAATCTCAAAGAAAGACTTTACAAAGAATGCCTTAGTGAAACACAAAAAAGGCAGCAGCTTAGGAGAACAAGACAACAAATGGTTATCTTGCACCTGTGAGAAAAGCTTCTGAAAATCTTCATAGCAGCAGCAATTCTTTTTGGAGATTTATTGCTGCTTGCAGATCTTGCCAGATTATTGAAGGTGCAGTGTCAGTCTTGCTTGCCTGTAGAATTAAATCTCCCAGGTGATCTTCTCAAATACAATTTATTTTGCAGTGCCCCTCAGTGCTGAGGTTGGGTCATCAGTGCTTTTTGGAGTGTAGGTTCCATGTAGAGAAGTTGCTGTGGGGAGATGATACCCACAGAACAGCTCAATAGCCTGGGATGCTGTCCCCACCATTGGCTCCACGCTTTGGTGCAAGGTGAAGCACTTATTTATTTGTGTGCTGCATCAAGCACAGGAGGTAGATTATGCATTTGTGAGGGCACAAAGGTGGTAAATTATTTATCAGGAAACACAACTTTGCAAAGGCTTACCTAGACACCTTTGATGTTTCTGAAGAGCACCGCCTAAGCTTGTTTTTGGAATAAAGTAGCTAGCTCAATGATATCTTCATTTCTTGAAGACAGTTGTTCAGTCTCTTTTCTATACTGTATGTTCCACATTAAGTCATTATCTATGCTGTTCACTCCATTAATTCTGCTAGTTTTATTAGCAAAGTTCTGCTGCCTGGTCCTGTAGCAGTGACAAGCATTTCTAAAAGCTAATCTGACAGATAATGACTCCATTAAGTGTTGAATACTAATTGGTTTACATCAGGGGCCTGAAATTAATTGATGTAAATAAATTAGCACCTGAGCATGCATCACCCCAGCTTTGGATTTTCCTAAATACCAATGATTTTTAAAGCTTGTATCTTCAGCAAAACGCAATGGAATATAAACAGACAGGATGAGTAATTAAAATGTGGCAACAAAATAAGACTATCAAGATGAGCTTAACAAAGATTGTTTACCTATTGATGGAAAGGGTAGTGCCTGCCTGTACAGTCTGTTTACACTGTTCTGACTTGTACAAAAGATACTTTTCTGACAGCTTCCAAAAGATATAATTATCATTACTATTAATAACAGTGAAACTGACCTCCACACCATTACTAAGATTTAGCAAAGTTACGTGAAGCACAGTGAATGCATGCTATTAATCACAACAAATGCCTTCCCCTCCTTGAAAGTCAAGCCTTCGATTATTATTTCAAGGAATTAATAAAAGTTATTTTGTTTTAAAAGGATAAAACCTCATTACAGAGGAGATTTGTCATAGGAATGACACAAATAATGAACAATTTCTAAAGCCTAACCATGCAGAGCCGTCTGGGAGCAGGGCTGTGTGCATTTAGGGCATTTCAAGAGCAGTCAATAGGTTAAAAGACACCAACAAATGCAGCCTATCTTTATAGAGATATTTACTATATTTATTTTCACCCCTGTAAGGAAAAAATCAAATCCAATATAAAGCAATAAAAATCAGAGAAAATACGCATGACTTGGGAAAGCAGATATCATTTGGTGCAGTAAAGCATGTTCACCTTAGGGGGATGCATGGAAAGTACCAGGCACCGTATGGGCACACAGGTCTGCCACCACCAGTGAGATGTCCCCTTCCTTTCTTCGTGGCAGACAGCTTGTGGAGAGCTGCTGAGGTTGATCAAGAGACATCCAAGAGTTTCCACTTTGGATCGACTTTCTAATTACTCACACAAATCTCAGATTGAATATGCAGATCGTTTCACACGCACCAAAGAGCACGTTGTTTCAACAGTTATCTCCACTGTGAAGATATTAACTGACTTAAGGCTATCTCATAAAGGATTCAATCAGAGCTTCTGAAGGCTGGCATCACCTTCCTATCGGAATTAGGAAACACAAGATTATCAAGCAGAAATCTGTTGAGAAAATAACACCAAAGCAGCAACCATCACCAACAAGCTATCTGAGCACCACCATGAGCTCAGCCTTCACATCTTTTGCAGTCAGAGCTGTGGGTGGCTTCGCCCCACATTCCTGGGAGGTTGTATCCCTGTGCAGTGCCACTGCAGTGCCTACCCTGCTCCCATTCCAGCCTGGAGCACCACGCAGCGCCCCAGGACATTCCTGCTGCTGAGCCTTCACTCCCTGCCATCAGCTCCTCTCCCATCCAGAAAACCCTTCTTGGGTTTTCAAGATTTGCCATCAGGAGACTGAAGCTGAACTGCAAGAAACAGGGGTGAGAAGATCTCTGGAAAGCAGCTGTAACAGAACCAGCCGTTTCTCCACTGTGATGCTCTTACAGATTCTTTATTTCAGAAACATTAACCATTTTGAGTAATAAAGGTAAAAAATGGGAGTATTAATGACTGTGAAGAAATATAGGAATGAATATCTGTCTCCTTTGACAATTGCAATAATACAACTTAAATATAGCTGTGAGCGATTAAGCAGCTTTTAAACATTGCCTGAAGCTAAATAATACGTCAGAAACATTTAGCAATGCCATGTTTTCTGGCACATGCCTCCTTCCAAAGCGCTCACCCAAGTAGTGCAAAGCTACACAGAGCATTACACCTCCTGGATAGCTCCAGACAGCTTCTGTCATCATTCAGCCCTTCAGTTTACACCACTTATGTGCAGAATAGAGTTCCACATAACAGAGCAGTTCCAAGGCAGAACCTTGTGATGGGCACAAGAGGTGCAGTGGGGTCTGTCCCTTTTCTCAGAGCATCACCAAGACAGCTTTAATCTCACTCGTGCAACAATTCTGATTCACTGCACCAGTACAACATTGGAAAGTCATCAGGAATTAACCAGTGAAAATTAATTACTGGAATAAAACTTGCATAGGTTTCTCCTGTTATCAGCATTTAAGTGTAATGGACAACAGAGCTATTAGGCAGAGTAATAGACAACAGAGTTGAAAGTGTGCTGTTTTCTGGTAGTCACTGTACATATGCTTAATGAGAATTCAAAGGACATAATGAATTAGGATTCCCCTGTTGGGCACTGAGTATTTCTTCATTAAATTCTAATGAAGTAGGAAGAGCATCAGGTTTACTCACACAGCATATTTTCCCCCTTTTCTGTGGTTGTGTTTAGATGCATTTAGTTAGCCTTCATCATCCTCCTGACAAAGAAGCACTGAAAGAACATGTTTGCTAAGAAAAGAAGTATAAATATGTAAGGACAGAAAAGACAGCAGTACAAACTGTCTGAAATAAGCTGAGGAATTTTTGCTGTGCCACACAGACCCCACATTGCCCCAAAAACAGCAGTTCGTTTTTCTCTTAAAAAGAGAAGGAAGAGATGAAACGTCTAGCAATATGATTATAACAAATCTCACTCAGTTACCATTTCTATCCAGTAAAACTGCTTTTCCCATTCATTTTGTGCACGTCACAAAGTAAGAAACACATTGTAGGGTGGCTAAAGCGAAGAGTTGAGAGACTTCCCTCTGCTTCTTCCAGAATCTATGCCCAATTTGGAAATCAGCTGTTGCCACTCTACCTGCACATGGACTGGGAGCAAGGGCACATCACCGTGATGCTGCCTGCAGAGCCGGCACCTCCCGCACTGCTGCCTCCCACGCCGAGGTAAAGGGGATTAGAGCACTTGATGTTCTTATTGGCTGCTGGCAAGACTAGCAAAGCAATTAGGCTGTTATGGCAATTTTATGGTGCTTATAAAATTCATTAGCAGCCAATTAATTACATTTTGTCATTAATAATATAATTATTATCATCATTTCTTTTAACGTCTTTTCTGCTCAGGCCTCTCTTTTTTTTTTTTTTTTTTTTTTCCCCACCTCTTGTTTTACCTTTTTGCATTTGCTTCCTGGCCTGGCCCATTCCAAGCCAGATCAGCTCTTAGGGCTCAGCTCAGCTACTGCACAGCAGCAGCAGCTAAAGCAGCAGAGAGGGTGCAGATAGCAGGGGCAGCCCAGCAGAGCCAGCAATGCACAGCAGCTCAGGATGCAACGATTTGTGCCAACAAGAGGAAAGCTCTCCCAGAGATGCTCACCCCTTGCAGCACGGGCTCAAAGTCCTCCAAAAGCAGTTTCTGAGGATCTTTTCAAGTGTCCAAATATCTCCAGCTGACCACTCTTGGCAACATACATTTGTCCAATTTCTGGAAGGAAAAACAAAGTTTCTAAACAAAGCCTCCCTTCCATGAATTGGTGTTCTAGGTCAAAGGAGAAGTTCTTGTTCTTCTCAGATACCTGTAATATTTCAAAGCAGCCCTATTTATTTTATTTTCTTTAAACAGACAATGCAGATAAAACCTGCAAAGTGGAATCTACCCAAAGAGGTGAGTTTTGGAGAATTATCATCGCTCAGGGGTTCAGAACCAGACCACTTGTTCTTTGTGGACACCAGCCAGCTTTTCCTTTTTGTTTGGATGTTTGTATTTTAACTCCACATTGGGAATAATCTCTGAGAGACAGTTCCCTAATATTTTACATTAATTTGAGACTGAAGTGTATTTTATTTGTACCGGAGCCAGGATTTTTAAGTCTCCCTCCCAGGCTCCTGTCCTCTTTTGAAACGTCTCCCGAGACTTCTTTGATGCTCCTAGCATGAGATCCCACACCCCACAACGCAAGAGATGGTTGGAGCTGGAAACTTTCCCAGAACAAGTTTGCTGGTTAAAGGGCTCTGCTTGTGCTGAAATACAGCTCAGTCCACAGCTCTTACCTCCCATTAGTATTCCCAAACCATCATCTAAGACAATATTAACCGGTACCATGCTGGGTGCACTCCTATCTCCTGTACGAGAGGCCAAAAGGCTTTGCTATTTTCGTAAAATTCTTGATTTTCTGGAGCTGAATCTCGGCACAGTCCTGGTGCAGCATCGCCACCTGCAGCACGGTCGGCAGCACTGCAAAGCCACAATAACAACGCAGTGAAGATTTGTGGGTGACACACACGTTCCGTATCAGATGTGCCTAAAAGTATACTGGCCAGGTTTGGGGTTTTATAACTCAGTCCTTGCTCAAACTTTCATCGAGCTATGAAATTTCGTTTAGGTTTTATTTTTCCATAGTTCAGGCAGGCACAGAGTCACTTGCTATAAATTCAGATCATTTCCCTCAGCACTGAAACTCACCAGCTGTATCATGTGTTTTTTTGCCACCACCAAAGCACTGTGTTCCAGTATGTGCAGAAAGCCAATAGAGAAAGACAATGGAGAAAGCCAATGGGACTTCCACCAGGCTGCAGGAATCTCCAGCCTAACTGTCCTGTAGCTCCTACCAAATGAATCAATTCTCAATTAGTTTTGGAAGCACATTCCATGAGCTAAGGTTGCAGCTGTCACATCACTGAAGCCAAAGAACTTGGAATAGTCTTATATGGTGGCCGGAAAAAAAAAGCTGAAATCAAACACAAATGTACTATTTGGCAAAATCATGTTAGAAAACAGCATTTGGATATGATAAGCCTGGCCTCACTCTTACACAAGTCATCGAAGCGTTTAACACTTAAATGTACAACTTGCCCATGTCCTGGCTCCAACACACTAGCAATGTGTTTTTGGAAGAAAACACTTGGGCAGGACATGTATATTGGAAAAAAAAAACCAAAAAAACAAAAAACCTCACCTTGTAGATGTTCAGCTTTTATCAGTTGGCACAACTCCTACAAACTCTCACCCATGGCAGCCACCAGGGGAATCTCCTTTCCACCATCAGTCTGGTGATTCAGGAGTCACAACACTGTTAAAGCACAAAACATGTAACTGTTGCTCTTAGGAATAAAGTGATCTTTTTGACTGAAGTTATTTTAATACAGCATGTTGTTATTTTAAAAAATCATTTCTCTTTGCAAGAGATGACCTTTTTGTCTGTTAAGTCTTCACTGTTTCTAACTTTCTTCAAGATGAAAGCTTTGTTGTTGATGGAAACTGCCCAAAGGTTATTACCCTCATCTTTGACTCTTTCAGGTGACTGAAAACAATTTAACCTATCACTACACACAAAGGCTTCATTGCCCTTCGTTACTTGTGAAATAAAATTTTTAGGAATCCAAACCATGACCTGAGTGAGCCAAGATCACTGATGGAAGATACGGATGAAGCGTTGGCAGCACCAGTCCCAGCCATATTCACCATAAAGGAACGCTGCAGCCACCTCCATCCTTCATTTTGTGATACCGAATTGCACCAAAGGTGGTAATGCAATGAGCCTTCACTGTTATAGGAGAAAAATTAAATTTGCCATTATTATGCATTCACACAAATCCTCGTGGAAAAGTTAGCTTCTATTTGCATTAAGCAACTATATTTCACATTGCATTGGTTAATGCCAATGTCTTTAGAGGTCATCAAACTCAACAGTTAAAAAAATTAATCTGAGAATTTACAGCGGTTAAATACAGCTAAATAATTAATGATGAGGAAATTGAACTTCCCATTGAGATTGGATTAGGAGCCAATGTGGGACACCATTGCTGTAGAGCCTCTTTCCCCGGGGAACCTCCCAGCAAAAATCAGCCTCTTTATTGCTTTCCATATCACTAATAAAATATGAAAGCAGAGAATACAATAAGATTTTCATATCATATTAATGACCTTCAGAATGCAATCAGACTAGCAGCTCTCACTGAGCAATTTGCTAACATAATATAAAACTGTTAATATGATATGAAGGTCACTAAGACAGTGCAAAAATTAGTGTAATGACACCAACTAACCCAGGCCTTTCAGCAAGGAGAACAATTAACTGGCAACTTCATTTTTGCAACCCATACCTCATATGCATGAGTCAGACACAGCACTAAGTAAAGCAGAGTTGTTGGGTCTGAGGGACTTCAGCTCTACAAGCTTCAGCTTTGCTGGCTCCAATCCAGCGATGCAGGGGCATGTCACAATGGTCCTCTGCTGAGTGCCAGGGAGCAAATGCAAAAGATGAGATTGATTGTAGGTCTTGTCTCTCCTTCTGCAGAACAGAAAATACTGAACTTGTCCTGTCATACTGACCAGCTGCCCTGAGCAGTGCTCCAGTAGCACAGAAGAACTTTTGGAAGGAAAGGGGATTTATGGGAAATAAAAGAACAGTGGTGATTCTTGATATACTTGAAAACGAAAATATTTTAAAACTGTATTAATAAGTTTCTTCCCGTATAAACCAATATTTAAACTCCATTTTTTATTAGGTTAAACTTAAGAACAGCCAGCAAAAAATGATCTCACAATATTTTATAAAAAATCCTTGATTTTAATCTCTTCACTTTTAAGGCACTACTCTGAAGTTGGATAACTTTGCTTTCCACCACGTAAACACTGCTGAAGTACCACAGAGCATGGAGAGCAGCATGCATCTTAAAAACAGCCACATTAACTCCTCCTGAGAAGCAGACTCAGAATAGAAACTTCACCTTGACTCACTGCATAACATCTAAGAGCAGAAACTCCACACATCATTCTGAAATTCCAGCATTAACACCAGCTGTATCCCATGGCAGAAGCTGCAGAGGGTCAGGCCAACATCCCACCGAGACCTGAACATCCTCTATTCTACCAATAGCACTGTGACAAAGTAATGGTGATGACCATCCCAGTGGCAAATAAAAAAGGGATATCTCGAAGCAGCAAAGGGAAAGGATAAAGGAGAAATCTCTAAGCAGGTCAGAGTCCTGCTTCCACAAACTGGTAGTTCAGTATTTTGACTGGCAAATGCAGCAGGAAGTCATTTCTCAGTTGCACAGTGTGGAAGAGGAGAATTTCCTCTTGGAAATTCATTTTATGTTCTGAGTCAAAGCCCTTTTATATGTATTTTATATAGAAATTGATTGGTATTTAATTAAACTACACTTTATGCCATAGTCAATCTTTAATTAAATGCATCCTTAAGCATAGAATTTAGAGCATTACCAGAATGACTTTAAGTGCAGTAAGCATTTTTATGTTTTCCTCATAAACGAGAAACGAGGAAAGAAGCAAATAGCTGCTCAAACCAGGGAGTCTCTCCAGCCAAATGCAAAATGTTTGCAGGGAGCCACCCACCTACAGAAAGCAACTTCTGAATATTTCCTCTTGGGGATGTAGATTTACAGAAGGCAAACCTAAAACAGCAGCAATGCTTTGAAAGAAGATCCTTTAGCTGCTATGATCTCTGTGAACATCAAAGCCTTGTGCAGCCTTTGAAGAAGGAATTTCATTAAAAAAATTAAAAATAGGCATTACCAAAAACTTCCTAACAAAATATCATGATTAACTATAATATCTTAAGTAGCTAAACATTGTCCAAATAATACCCAACAATGAAAAATCGTCAGTATTTTACATTGTACAACTAAAGCCTCTCTCCATGCAAGTCTGAACATACTTTCTCTGAAAAATCCCGAGCCTTCTTATAGAAAAACACTGAACCTGACAAAATTTGGTGTCAACATATATTCCATTGCTTTATAATAGGTGGCAAAGCCCTTGTGAATTTAAAGAATATCTAGGGATCGACTACAGCTCTCTAAAAGCCAGAAAAATTACATCCCGTGTCATAAAACCAATGCTTTGTCGTGTAATGATGCAATAATGCTGCATATCCAATCACAGCACTCTTGGCTTCAAGTCCGCAGGATAGAATTCTGTTGACTGAACAAAACGCCTATATGATGGAGGATCTAAAAAAGTAAGTTACAACAAGAAATAACTTTCCTCACTCTGCTTATAGATCTAAGTTTGCACCTAGGAAAACAAAATTTCTTTTTATAAGAGGTAAGAAAACATATGTCCATATGCTGAAATTATTTTTTCAAAACATTACCAGTTTCAGGAAAGGCTAGGTAGGCATCCTTCCCTCTGAGGCTGTGTGCGTATCACTTAGGACTCTGCTACTGTTTCAGTAATGAACTGAATGACGGAATCCTAGAGATGGCTTAGGTTGAAAAGGACTTTAAAAGACCACAAAGACCCAACATCTTGCCGTGGGCAGGGACATCTCCCACCAGATCAGGCTGCCCAAAGCCTCATACAATCCTGCCTTGAATGCATCCACAGATGGGGAATCCATAACTTCAGTCACAGTCTACGTTTTTTTCTGCACAGATACGATGAGGAAATTTATGAAACTCTTCCAGAAGACACGATCCTGGATGTAGCAACAAAAAAAGACAAAAAAGCAGAGAAGGAACTCGACGACTTAGATGCTGGCAGTAATTCACCTTCCACAGGCAAGAGCAATTATATATTCTGAAGAGCTAACCATACAGCAGGGAATGGCAGAAAAAAAAAGTCATGTAATACACTATAACTAACATACTACAGTCTGACCTAAAATGTAAGAAATAGAATCCAGACTCTTTCAGAGATCAATTCTGTTGCAAAGCACTATAGGTTTAGACCACGTGAGACAGAACACATTCTGCATACATATTTTATGCAATTGTATGTATAAAATACCACATCCTATTTTGTTAAACCTTCTGTTATTTATTAGAATTACCCAATATGCAACAAATCCTTGTAACCTCTCCCACTGGACTGCAATATCTTGGGGAACCTGGCTCAAAACTCAACAAGGATAAATAAGAACCCATCAAATTCATCTTGGCAGTAATGCTGGTATTTTATCTAAAGCACTTTTTCTACTTTAGTTTTGCTAATAACTGACTTTTTATCATCATTTTAATGATTTGTAAAACAGTGCAATTAGAAAATATAACTCCAAGCACAGGGACAGGTAAATTAATATAAATAAGGCAAAACCATTCTAGATTTCCCTGTCTCAGTTTTCTCCCTTTCCACAGCCTGAAGCAAATGGCTTTTTTGGTTGAATTATTGGGAAAAATCTATGGTGAAGAAAAAATGAAAGAGGAGATGGACTGCAAAAATGCATTCCAGAAAAGGCCACAAATAAGTTTGGCTTTGCTCTTTGTTTGAAATGCTTACTTTTGTCTCAGTTATAAATCTGAACTTCCAAGAGTGTTCAAATGCCAGCTCAATAACCATCACAGTACAGACTTAGGGCTGACAGCAGCTTCCTCTGCAATGGGACAAGTTCCTTCTGGATTCCTCTGGGGCTTCTAAATCCATTCTCTGCAACACAGCATGGAAATTTCTCTAGTAATTAACACTTTTTATAAGCCTCTGAAATTGAGATGTATTTTATAAAAAGGCAGTCGAGCAGCGACAGCGAAACAAATGCAGACATTTCCTCTTTTCTAGACCTAGATTTAATTTTCGGGAAGTTGCCACCAAAGTCACTGATCAAGACCAACCTCCTCTTCCCAAAGCCTCCTTGTCCCATGACATCATACAAGACATCAGGAAGACATCATCCCCTTTCGATTAACAAACAGGTAAGCATCCAACATAGGCCTGGTATACTATGCAGAGGAATGCTATTTGGGTTTGCTTGTTTTGTTTTCCTCTAAAGCTGATCTTGATGTGCAAATCAGTAGAAAGATTAAATAAAATACAAGAGTAGTTTTAAAATCACTAATCAAGCCTCTCGCTCCACCATGGAGAAATACCTTCAGAAAAATCACCTTCATTTGCAGCTTTCAAATAAGCACTGAGGACAGTCAGAAATATCACTAATGGTAATCCAGGTCTCCTGCTATAAGAAACACCAAAGATGCATTTTCAAGTATATAACACAATACCATAACTTTGATGTGAGAGAACATATTTCAGGGCAAATAGCTATTTGCATAGAAATAGCTATCCCCTTTTCCTGCAATAAATTTAACACTGAACACGTACATTTTCCTAAACAGCAATGTCTTACCAAACAAAAACTCTATTTGTTACTAAAAAAGTAAAATACAATCAAAATCATGTGGACAAAATTGTACTGGAAATTCTTGTAAAGATGCTCATAAAAGGTCACCAAGGGCAGCAAAGAGAAGGGCAACGAAGCTGTGAGGGGTATGGAGCACAAGCCTGATGAGGAGCAGCTGAGGGAACAAGGATTTAGTCTGGAAAAGAGAAGGCTCAGGGACAAGTCATCACTTTCTACAACTCCCTGAAAGGAGGTTGCAGTGAGCTGGGGGTCAGACTCTTCTCCCACATAACTAGCAACAGGACGAGAGGGAGTGGCCTCAAGTTACACCAGGAGAGGTTCAGGTTGCACAGTAGGGTAAATTTCTTCTCTGAAAGAATGGTCAGGTGCTGGAACAGGCTGCCCAGGCAGGTGGTGGAGTCACTGTCCCTGGAGGTGTTCAAGAAATTTGTAGATGTTGTCCTGAGAGTCATACTGAGGAAATATAGCTGGTAGGGGGACAGTTGGACTGGAAGATCTTGGAGGTCTTTTCCAACCTTGTTGATTCTATGAAAGGAGGCATTTGGAGGAAGGGGGACAGTGCAGGTGGCTGCCCTTAGACCCATCTCCCACTCCACACTGTTGAAGGACACGTTTCACAGGGCCCAACACACAAACTCCTTGTGCTGCTGGAATTCTCTCCCTAGCAACAGGCAACAGAGTTTTTGATCCATGAGTCTCATTAGGCTCATCGTTGTCTCAGACATGTTTAGAGCCTGTGCTTGTGTAGTTGTAGTAAACATTTTGCAACTGTCAAATACTTGATCACTAATGGTGAAAAGAGACTCATTAAACTGTCTTGAGGCACATATCCCAGCAGTCACTGTTCTCTTTAAGTGAAAATATTGTACTAGGAGCCTCCTGGATAATACCATTGTGGTCCTATAATACACATGCATTCTTAAGTGTCTCTGCAATTTTCTTTGTATGGCACTAGGAAAATAATCCCTTGAATTTTAAATTCATGACAGCTCAAGTTTCAGTATATTACAACACTTGTGATAGACTTATATTTTCTGAAATTGAAGACTGTTGCGGCTGATGAAAAAAGAGACCAGGATGTGACAGTGAGAACCCTGAAATCTCCCCACAAGAGCCATCTGGCACAGAAACGTGCAGTGAGACACTGGAATGCTCCTTCCTCCAGCACCAGCTCAAGAGCTGCTCGTCACAACCACAAAAATCACTTGTGATAGCACACAGGCTGAGCAACAACAGCCGGGAGGAGAACATTAACTGTATTGCACCGTCTCACCGCTGCAGACTCCCAGAAATACCACCTGCTGGGATACTCTGATGAGAATTCTACGAAAATGTCTGAATAAAGGAAATAACTTTCCTTTGTGAATGATATTTTTGTGCTATGATGGGAAGTGTTAACCATATGTGGCTTTGTATGAGGTACATGAGATTTGCATACAATACCAATAAGCAGTGCCAGCAATGTGCAGGTAATCTCTTCCAGCTTGATCCTTGCTGAGGAGGGATGATTGCTACCCACATGGATTACAGCTACTCGATGAATGGAAACTTCTATTTGTGCTCACTGAGTGGCCAGCAGTGGAGAAAGCAAGAAACACCTACTGTCAACATCAAATGGTTGGAACTGCCTCAATCTGCGTAAACTCTGCATTTAAATGCAGGCAGCTTCCACCTTCTCTCTTCAGTGGATGAGTGGAGGAAACATGAGTAAATGATATTCTACCCTACAAACCCAAATAAGTCACTAAGTAGGTCCAGTCATTTCTGAAAAAAAATCACATTATCTCACACAGAAAAGGGCCTTCTATATAAAAGCAGCGTATTTCCTGCATTTTCATACACATTTTCTTGAAAAGCCATTTCTCAGACATCCCATGGGCAACTGTTCACCCTTTCCCCAGCTGCAGTCTCGCATACAAATCAGGGCAGCCTCAGTGTACAGGGTGCTGTCAAAGAGGCTTGGCTGCCTGGCAGCAGCGGCATCTCAGCACCAGGCAAACCAACATCCATCTCCCCTTCATTCATTTCTGTCAACAGAACAAAAATATGAATTCATTGGGAAAAAAATGTAAAGCCCATCACTAATATATGAGATAATCACTATAATATGAGAAAATGGGTATTTTTCTTCATCTTAATTTAGTGATGAAGAAAAATACCCATTTTCTCATATTATCCATATTGATGTAAGATAAATAAGTGAACTGTGTTTATAAGTCTCCCCACACTGAATATTTCACGTGTTAACAAAATACTATATTATGGAAAAACCTACTTAAATGGTGGTTTGTCTTTAAATTGTTTCATATCCCCTAATAGGCAGCATTTAAATAACTATGATGCCCAAGCACTCTGTTCTGCACCTATGTTCTCTTTATGATGTCATCTGCCATGACAACACTGTGACATCACAGGCACCTGCGTGTTGAGAAGCGACACTGAAAATGTAAGTAAGTAAGTAAGAGTAAGTACTAACGAGCCCTGCTTTAGGAGAAGAAAGGGAGAAAAAACAAGTTTGGGACAAAACAGCAATTACTGAGTATTGCAAATGCCAAGCAGGAATCTTGTTGGCCAAAAATACAATACTCACTAATCTTAGCACATAGTTCAGTCTATGGTAACGTCATTTTTTTTCCCCTTACAAATAACCCAGTTACCACAGCTTACTTCTGTACCTTACTGCAAAAGGGAAGATAAATCTGTGTGTACCGGCAGATCAGTGCTAAAATCTAGCCTCGTTGTGGCTCCACATTGAAGGCTTTCTCCTAGGAAAGCATCTCAAGTACAACCACTTCTTTTCAAAGCATTATCAAACATTTCAATGGCTCCTGACTTACAGTGGTAGAAGGTTATGGGCTCTGCTCTCTCTATTCGGGTTTCTTTACCGCAGATGAAAGGTCTCAATGAGCAGCTAAGCTTAGGAACAGTGCTCCATGAAAAGACTCATGGCTTTCCTGGAAAATAAAGTCTGTCTGAATCATTTAAGCAGGATAATGCTTTCCTCCTACATGAAGAAAGTGCATCTTTCATGGCCCATCTTATCTTTGTTATGAAAAAAAAAAAATCAAAAAACCAAAAAAACACTCTTTCATTCAGGCTGCAGTACAATGATCTCATCCTACCAGTACTAAACATTTCCTCTCTCTGAACCCATGTTTCCTAGCACTGGGTCTTCAACATGAACAATTACTGTGCACAGACCTGGCATGGGCAGAGTGCAGGTTTTCTTGACATCTCTGTATGAAGTACAAAGTGCTTCTGATGAGCCTGGAATTTTTCAAGTTGTAGGTGGCAGAATACACAGGTATTAAGTCAACAGAAATTTGCTATCAGTAACACACAATCCCACAGCAAATCTTACTGCCGGGACTCCTCTGTCCTGTGGCAAAGCTCTGATAAGGGACCCAGAAACTGCCCAACATCTCAGCAACCTCGTGTCTATCTGACCTGCAGCCACTTTTATGTGCTGGAAAAAACTCAGATGCTGACACAGTGAATCCAGTTGTGTTCACCATCTCCATCCAATTCAATCCCCAAATTCTTCTTCTGTAATCAGTTTTATGTCTCTTCTCCAAGAGTGGCTACAAAAGAAAGCCATTTTTTTTTTGGCAGAGATAGCAAAAGGAGAATGAAAACAGTTGCTTCAGTGTAAAAAGAAAATAAATCACAGGCTTAAGTCATTTTTAACAGATTACAGATGTTGACTTGCTTGACATAGTACAACTAAATCTAGACATTCGTGTTTCTAAAATTGAAGGTAACTTACCTCCTGTGCACCCCTCGTTGTTCGTATTTTGACATTTGGAAGAGCTTTCCACCTGTCAAACAGCAGGCTGTGTGCCATCACAGCAAGCTTCAGGACAGCCTTGTTGTTTCAGAATCATTCTGCAGCACAACAAAATCTGCTTGCCTGCCTAAAACCAACCTCCCTGATGAGCATCTGTCTCTGCTCATGTTCTCAGTCTCTGCAATATATTTAGTTATTTGCTTTGTTTTCATGATATTTAGGATTAAGTTATTACATTTCCAGATATTTCCCCATAGACGTTTTCTTAAACAGCTTCCGTTGAAATAGTAATAATCCTTTGGATGGTCCAGCTGATTGTTCACCTTATTTCTTTTCACTAGGGTAGGTCTGTAAATTAGATCTCTCTTCTCCAAACTTTTCTTGGATGAATAGTTTCATTAATAAGAAAGGAAACAGAAATCGATTCAAGCATTCAAAAGGCTCTGAAGCAAAATAATTTCAAAGTAAAAAGAATTTAGGAAATTTCAAAACACAGAGTGTAAAAGGACTTTTTAAACTAGGATTTATGGAAAACAGATAAGGTATGGAAGAAAATACAGCAGATTAAAGAGACTCGCCAAGAAACTTGCCAAGTTAGATATATTGAAGTATACTCTTGCACTGGATTTTTATAGTGTTCCTTCCCTGATGATGCCTGTTTCTTCTCTGACAGCTTTATCCGACAAGCCATTAAGAAACTGTTTGATCTTCCAAATTAAGTTTCCCTTTCTTAGTTTCATCCAAGTACTAAATTGCAACAGCTTTTTATCTTTGCATCCCTAATAATAATCATCTCTTTACAATGCTCACACCTTTGGACACCTGCTAGCAAGGATACCTTCAACAGACCTCTAGCCCTGCTGAGCACCTGCATTTCTCAAAGTTTTTCCTCTTCTATTAAGTAGAAAATGTACCTGTAGTGTGTAAACCAATCCCTATTAATGAGGTAACACCTTGTAGGAGAGATGCTGAATTTGTACATGCGCATCTGTATTTCTGCACACACAAGAAAGGAAAAAATTAGCAGGAATTTGTTTTCTGGACCCTACTGATTAGCGGGATGTTCCTATAACAAGATCCGCAAGGAAACACTTCTGTTGAATGTTCTACAAAACACTGGTATCAAACTGTACAACTCCTTCCTAGCTCCATGTAATTTGTAAGGACGTTTGAAAGAACGAGTAGGGCACAAATCATTTACAGTACACAATTGATTCATGTGAAATTTAAGTTAGTTCACTCTAAACTCAAAACAATTACCACTGCAGTGATTTTATAAAACGCCTCTTCCCTTGGAAAGAAAGCATCTAAATCAAACTTGGTTTCAAGCCACAAAAATTAATGATAGGTATTCTCATCTCAAGATGAAGGAAGCGACGCACATAAATCCACATGTCAAGATGAGGTTCATATAATTCTAAGCATTAAATCATTTATCCCTGAAATTGTACTATTCCAGGAAGTGTTTGGTTATATCAGTTTTGAGTTGAGGTGCTACACTAAAAGCTGTCACCCAAGCAGCCAGCTGGGATTCAGCACAAAACTGTATCAGTCTCTGTATTGCTTTCTTCTGCTTTATCTGAAAGATCTGATGAATAAGCTGGTGGCTAAGAGAAAAGATTAGCATCAGAGGAAGCAAGGACACGGGGCAGAGGAGCATCTCGGCTGGCAGCGTGGCCTCACAGAAGCAGGCAGGATGGATGCGGGCACCCAGACCCAGCCAGCCTCAGTCCAGCATGAAGGCAAGTGTCTTCCCTTTGCCCATAAACCATCAATATAAACATCCACTGCAAAGGCTCCTCTTCGCACCAGGCTGCGCCCTGGGCACTGCTGTTAACTGGTTTGGAGCAGGACAGTGTGATGGCTTAACCAAAAATACAATTCTATGCCAACAAAGCATGTTTAAGGGCTGTTAGATTTGCTTACAATATTACGCATGCATAACTGTCATTAGCAGTAAATGACTTGCTACATGTTTAGAGCACATAGAAAAGTTTAGATCAAATATTGTTTGGTTGTTTTGTTGGTTTTTTTTTGTCACTGATTCTAAAAGCAACAAGAAACATCTCAGCACTCGAACATGCCTAGGCCTAATCACTATGTAAAGCTTTCTTCCTCTATAATTGTCCCTGTCTGAATTTCAGATACCAAAAGTTCTAACGCAACGCAACAGATATGGAAGAATTTTTCCTTGAAGTTCCTCAAGCCACGCCGGCCAGGGACAAAACCCCGATCAAAGCCATCAGAACTACAGGCAAATAAGCCCAAGGCTCAGAACCCAACACCTGCAGAACCACAGGGAAGGCAGCGGCTCCAGGTGTCCACAGGAGGAACAGAGATGATTGGTAACACAATGATTTCCATCTCCCGCCACCAGGAACAGGCCGAGCCTTGGGCCAGCAGAGCAGACCCTGCTGCACCAGCGTTCCCATCCCAAGCGCGGGGCCTCATAGGCCCACAAAAGCCTCTGGCAGCGAGCCCACAGCTAGACCAGCCTGACACTGGTGAACAACAGCCGCTGCTCTTTGTCTTCAAGCAGAAAATGCCCCCCCTTGCTATGGCTGCTCGGGGTCCCGCAGAGCTGAATCGCTCGGCATCTTTAGAAATGGAAATAGTGCCTCAGTGCACCCAGCCAGCACCCATCTCCATGCAGCTGACCCCACAAGGGAATTTTGTCCAGCAGCGTTCACAGCCTCCAGCTCTGCACAAGGGCAAGTCGGCTCCAGTCACCTGCCAGCCCCCCAAGGTCAGGCAAGCGCCAGTGGGAACCAGTGTTTCTCCTCCCTGCCTGGAGATCATCTCGCTGAAGGAAGGCTTTGCCATCAAGACCTTTCCCAGGTGCAGCCAAAGCTGTTTGCCTGCAGATCCCAACAAGGCCCGCACTGAGCCCCTGCCAAGGGCTGCCAAGGCACGGGGCGTTCCTGTGAGAAGCCGAGCACCGAGGTCTGTGCCCCTGGTAAGGAATGAAAATTGGGTTCGAATGACATCTGGGTTTCCCCAGGAACAACCCTCACCTACTGCAGTGGTACCTGGGTGGGAGGGTGACATGTGCCCCCAGATCCCTTACCCAGGGAACCACATCCCAGAGACTCCCAGATGCCAGCTCCAAGGTTACCCCAGATGATATCTTTAAGTGTCATCAAATGTCAGTGTTAATTGAGAGCTGATTCCAAGCTTGGTGAGGTTCAGCTCCTTCTCCTCTCCTTTGCTGGAAGCAAGGGGCAAGACAAGTGGTGACACTGGACCATCTAGCTGCTTAAAAACCTGGACACACTTGTCATTTCTCTTCCACAAACTCCAGCAGGCACTAACAATGGTTAATCCCACAGCACATAATCTATTCTTGAAATAATGCATACGTACCAACCCAAATATTAATGTAATTTAAAAAAACTGGCACTTCTTTTACAGCCTGGCGCCAAGTGGGTACACAAAATCCTGTAGTGAGCAATCTTCCCCAAGCACTTGGTTCCTGTGAGGATGGTGCATCTTGAAGCACACAGCAGCTCTGCCCCAGTGAGTTCACATTTTAAGGATGCTTTCCACCTATACACACCCTCAAACCATGTGCAAGAAATTAATAAACACAATGTTCATTCAGTGTAAAGGGTGAAATGTCTGTCACCTGGTTAAATCCATTTATCCAGACTGTTAAACAGCACCAACGCTGATAGCGCCCCTTCCTGTAGAAGTGGCCCAGGTAAGCCAGGAGGAGGAGAAGGAAGAAGGAGGAGCTCCAGCTGTCAAGAGGAAGCAGATGCATGTTTTGCCCACTGGGTATGAAGTTCTGAGAAATCTGGAAAGAGGGTTTTGTTTGGTTGGGCTTTTGTTGCTGTTTTCATTTTAGAGCACATACTGCCTTTCCTCAGGATCACATATTGTTTTTTTTTCAAGGATTTGGTTATTTTGGCTATATCCTCTCCAACAGTCCATCAGAACTCATCAGAATACACTGCACCAAAGTCTGATACAGGACAGGATTTTAAAATTCATCCTTAACAATACACCTTAAAAAACTGTGCAGCTCTCATTATGGCTAAAAACCATCTCCTCTAATTTGTTTTCAATAAGTCTCCTACAAAAACAGAAGTCTCCTTTCTTTAAAATCTACCAGCACCTCACACAGGATGAATTATAAAAATGAGACTCTCTGGTCATTCAGAGAATAAATGCTAACATTTTCACATGGTTTGTGCATGGTATTTTGAATACCACATAATGAATATGACATTCTTTATTTGCCTCTCTCCTGACAGCACACAGCACTGGCAGTTTGGCAGACGCTCCTGCTTGCTTTCTTTGATGGCTGCTGGTGATGACAGTTAATTCAGGGCTTTGGGAAAAAGAACGGATGGTAAAATACTATTGAAAATGATTGTATTTACTAATAGCAAATGCAAAATGACCTGCAGAAATGATTATTTTCATGCAGTTGCCACAGCTCCTGCCACTCCCCTTTCTGCCCTGGTTCTGCTGCTGCAAGTCACCCTGCTGGGATAGGCTGGGTCCAATAGCTGGTAACGCAGTCACTGCTGCTTCCTTAGAGCTCTATAGCTTTTTTCCCTAGTAATCAAGCTTTCAGTATAGTTTGCTGAAGAGAAGCCTCAGTACCCATAACGTGCCCAGACCATCCAGCAGGGCTGTACAAACCCATGGACTGCTTGTAAGATACAGTTACAAAGACTGATTCTATAGAGGCAACACCTCACATCACTCAAATCCAGCTAGGAACAAGGCAAGTGACTTAAACAACAGGAATGTTTTGCTCAGCTAGTTTCATACTATAGCTTACTGGAATGTATTTAGCATCTGGGATGGGTGTACTGAACATTTAATTAAAATAAAACCTTAACTTTGATATGCTTGGGAAAAATAAGTCCTGTCTCATCCAGGAGATCTCAAGCCCCTTGCTGGTTAGCTTCTGTTATACCAGCAAGTGCTTGCAAATACTTCTCAAGAACATGGAAAGAGTTTTAAGGGATACTTACACTCCTTAAAAACAGAAAACATGCAAAACAACAATTCACAACTCCACTAAACCAGAACCACTCCTTTAAAGCCATCCCAAATCAGCCTTCCCACAGGCCTCGTTTTTAGCTCGGTTTAAGCAACGTTGGAGCCAAACAGCAAACAGCAGTTCCCAACAGCAGGCATAAAACACGCTTGAAAACGAGTTACATATCAAGCTAATAAAATTAGGAAGTAATTTAACACTGCAATTTAGGTCGTGTCCAACTAGCGAGCGTTTTACAATCATTCCTAAAGCAACAGTTCTGAAAATTGAGTGTTCTCCTAAAAGCAGCTGCAGCTACACTCTTGAGGCTAAGAAATCAGCAACAACAGCCCTTAATAAAAGCAACGTCTCTCTAAAACTCCTTTCTGTTAAGCAACAAACACCGTGCAAAGGCCTGGAGGGCAGACCGTGTGTAGGTGCAGGGTGCAGCACGGCAGCCCAGCAAGGGCACAGCACAGCCATCGAACACAAAGCCATCAATGGGAGTGCTGCTGCTTCTTTCCAACAATTTAGGGCCGTTCTTTTTAATTAAATACAGACGCCTTTTCACGTTTCAGAAAATTAATCACTTTTGGCATCTATTAGATATTCATTCCTGTTTAAAGCATGTTTTATAATTCATTAAACCACCTCAAAAATTAAAATTCTTAACAGCCCAAGGCCCAAAATACGTTTAAGAAAGAAAATTAAGCACAGTAATAAATAGCGAAGAATCCTGAAATATTAATTCGGCCCGCAGCACTTCCAATGTTTATCTGTGACGATGAACTCCACACCGCGCTCAGGTGAAACGAAGGAAGCAGCGACGAAGGGCCGAGCGGCCGCCCCGCCACGCGGCTCGGCGCGGCACTGCCGCCATCTCGCGGCCGTTGCGCACCGCGGTACGGCGCCTCAGCGCTGCGACCCTACGGCGGGGTGCTGATGTTGCGCAAGCAGAACGCATGCGAAAGGGGGGAAAAGCAAGCTACTTTCTGTGCAGCCACCCGTACTTTTGACACTTAGGAAAGAGCCTTCCTTAAGCCCGGTAAAGCCGTGCGCAGCAGCGCAGACACCGCAGACGAGGAGCGGTGCCGCGGGCAGCTCTCGGTTCAGCAGTGCGGGTCAGCGGGGCACGGAGCCGCGCTTTCCCTGCTTGCCTCTGCCCGCACGGCCCGGCACCGAGCTCACAGACACGCGTGGCGGTCTTCTCAGCGTTCTGGTTCCTCAGCGTCCAGCACCGTGCTAGCTAGGATGCCAACTTTAGTGGCGACATAAAGAAAGCTACACAGCTAAAGCAAGCTCATCTCTTAAGTGCTTCTGAGAGCTTCTCCCCCCCATCATCTTTCTACCCCATAAAAGAAAGAAGTGGGAAGGCACCTTATAGCTTCAGATGAGTCATAGGTAAGACTGAGCTCTTTCCTGAGAGCCAGTGCTTGCAAGAAAGCAAAACAATACAGAATACGCCTATTTCATTGCAACCCTAGATCTCATCAGCAGTCCAAGTTTTTCTTAATACAGGCCTTGTCTCTTTTGCCAGCAGCAGCCAGTGCCCAGTAGGCGTGCAAGGAACTCGCTGCCTGGAGGTTCAGGGATCTCTCACTATTGTGCTGCAATGGGGATTATTTGGTACACAGTGAGCTAATTGCTCTACCACATATAGCGAGGGCAGCACTGCTTGGCTTTGCAGCAATAGCTCATCTACAGCAGAAAAGAATGTTAGGAGGCAGAGCTTTCTACTACAGCTTTATGACCTCATGTGGCAAATGCTGATGCACTTATTTATCTTTGACTGCCTGTGCAGGTCACTGCTTTTAATTTGACTGCTCTCACTTGCAATCTAAATGCCTGCATCTGGAAAGAAAATGATTTCCTCTTTTCAGGTATTCAGCTTCGACTACATGCAACAACATGTGGAAGGTAGATCATCCCACCCTAAATTAATACATCAATCCTATCAATAAATGTATGTTTTATTGAAAGTGTGGCATAAAACACTTTACTGTGAATATAAATTTATAAACAGCTCTTGATGTGAGGTTTTTGGCAGGGCTTACCAAATAATGCAATTCAGAGTACATTTGATTTACTGTGTGTGCTCATTAATTTTATATCATTTTAAAAAAAGAGTTGTTGAACTTTCAAAGTGATCATTTTTTGTCAATTATAAAAATCATGAACTTGCAACTTTTTCACTCTAGTACTTGAGAAACTGCCAGCTATTTAAAACTGTACCTTTATCATTGTTCACAATGTCTAACAAAAATAAATACAATTTTGAGGTTGTCTTTGGCATGTTGGAATTCAAGGCAATTGTATCTTTTAGCAGCACAGTGCAAAGAAAAACAACATACCATACAATGCACTACTAGATTCAGCCTTACAAAGAGAAGAGAACGTAGTACAATGCAAACTTTAATGTCAATATATACAGAGCTTTAAAGAAAAACTTTTAAAATTAAAAGAAATAAATACAATATGATACAAAATCCACAATATGCTTAGAGAAAGAAATGACAGTTACAATATCTGATAACGGGGACCTTTTGTATAGTTTCATCTTTTAAGTACCTCAGAGAGCATGTGATTCATTGCACACCATTTTCAATTAATGCCCTTTCATATATTGAGATTTATAGCCAGTCATGTGCCAGAATAGTTTTTAGCTCTAATCAGAGTATCAGTGCAAGATGCCAAAGTGCTTGGGATATTATGACAACACAATTCTTAGCCAATGCTGCTTATAAGCCTAATGCAAAACACACAAAATAAGAACACTTTGTCCTGCAAAGGAGATCCACCTTGAGCATTTTTAGTTCTCACACACAAGAAACCCAAACCAGGATCCAATGTTTTTAAACTCATTACTGGTAATAAGCTATCTCCCAGATCTTAACCATTAAAGATCATTTAAAGCTTTCAAAGAAAAGTTGCTTTCTTTACATAGAAAAATCTCAAGAAAGCCAATTGGAGAAGGGACTTCTAGTTACATAAGTTACTACAATATTCAAGTCAACTACAGCTATACCCTAGGATTTTATTTTCTTTAACTTGCTTTCATTCTTTTATTCCCAAAGGAAAATATAGGCATAATAACAAATTAATTTAGGGAAGTACATTTAAGAAAAGACACTGAGGATATGTAACTAAAGAGGCATTGATGCAGAAGGATGGTACATAAACAACAGTGTATGTATGTTACCCGTAGGTATCAGTACATACTCAAGAAAACTGAGTGAGCTGTCACAGAGCAGCATTAAAAAAAAAAGAGCTCTGATAGCATTACATAAGGACTCATAATAACTTAAGAAGCCATTTGAAAACTTTATGAGAAACCTGCTCCTCCCTTCCCTCCCACAAGCATTAGCAAAGTTTTAGACTAGATGGGTCTAAAAAATGTAAGTGCTACACAAGTACATGAACTCCCCTTAATTGCATTGATGTTTTATTCTAATTGCATTGATACAAACCAATATACTTACTATATTACTGTCTATCTTACTCAATCCTCACAAGCTCCCCAGCTTTTTCAATTGCAAAATTTGAGGGCAGAGATAGATGTGTCACTGCAAATGACCAGTGCATATTGCAAGTAACTTCCAATTGTTAAAGTGGCTAGATGCAATTTTAACTACTGGACATTTCAGTTAATTTCTCCAATACATACATGAAAGTTAGCTTTGGAAAGTGAATTAAAATATGGAAGACTACTCAAGCTCTGCATGAGTGATGTGTGTGAGGTTTTGGATGCCTTCTCTGAATGCTAGAATAACTTTTAAAACCATAGAACATTGGCCTCAGCTAGATAGTATGCTTAGACCATCTACTTAGGCTTTTACAGGGTCAGAAATAATTTAGTAGTTTCAGGCATAATAGGAAAACTATACACCATGCTAACAACAGCATTTAGGCAAGCCACAAAACAGTGGCTTAAATCAGTCTGCCCACACTGATTCTCTCTGGTTTGGACACTCTTCATTATGCACCACTGGTGGATGTTGATGCCACTGCACAGCTTTTGAACACAATACAGGAATACAACAGAGTTCCTTACTTTTCATCAAAAGGAAAACTGAAGATAATAATTGCAATATTGGAGGGGTGAGGTGAAGAGAAGCAGGTACATCAGGTACGTGCTCCAGCTACAGTTTATGTGCAAGGGTTGTCTACTCCCTTCAGCAAGAACTGTATCAGACTCTGTGCTCGTAAGATCTAGAACTTAACTGCTATTATCAAAGCCAGAGTAGAACTTATCTTGCTGGCAGAAAAACACCACACCCAAAATATAAGATCACTTGATAGTAATTAGTTCTCCAGAAATTCTTTTAAGTAGTATCCATATTTCTTTATAAAAAATAAAAAATGTCACTCTTTTACAAAGTCTGTATTAGATGATAAATAGCTTGTAATCTTGAACTGTGCAGAGACCCAGCAAAACATTACTGACCTTTCACTCCAAGAGCATGTTCAAGCATTATTCCATTTCACACTGAACTGACAATGCAGTCTGTTTATGAGCATTAGTAATTGAACAAAAGTTTGAAAAAGTATGAAAAATTCCAAAAGAAATATCAAAATTGAAGTAAACTCTCCTGCATCCCTGCATATCTGACGTTTCAAAACTGATATGCTGAAATATTCACAGCAAGTTCCCTTCCCCCTCCCCCCAAATGATTTAAGAATTAAAATCAGCATACTAGAGTACACAGGTCTCATTAAATACAACAAAGATGTTTCTCCATGTGATTTCCTTGTGATAAGACAAATTTATAATGCTGTAGTCACTAAAACCTTGCTTTTGCCCCAGGAGTACTGTTAGCACTACAGGCTAGTAATGATTTTAAAAAAATAACTAGAAAGGATAACCTTACAGATGTTTAAAAATCTTTGCTAAGAATCAGAATTCAACCTCATTTGCACATTCTTCCTCTTATTACCTTTGTTTTGCACATTGAGAAGAACTTAAATTATCTTCAGCTGCTTACAACTGCTTTTGTGCAAAATGCTTTTAAGGTGCTTATAATGTGGTGCTTCTAAGCAAGCTAAAAGAAAATGCCAATATAAACACTGTTAAATGATTAATGAATAAAGCCATTAAAGACCAGCTGCTACCTTGCAGGAAAGCTGAAGACGATTCAAATTTGACATTTGTGTTCCATTCCTTGTGTTACCCTCTAGACCAACGAGTTTTACAGTTGTGTTTCAACCCATATTATACCTGGACCTCAGCCAAGACAGCTTATTTCTACCACTATTTTTCCCCTCCATAGTGTGAACTCAGATTGTTCTGGTAGTCACTTGTAAATTTGCAGACAAAAATTGCAGACAATTACAGGCTGTAGATGAGAATTTCACACGTATTCTTTTGGACAAAGGTCTCTAATAGAGGAAAGGATGAGCCAATTGCACAAGGGACAGATCTGGTACTAAATAATAAACTTTCTAGGAAGCAGTCACGTTCTTTGATAGCTTTCAAGCATTTCAAACAGGCACCTCAAAATCAGGCACAAATGGCCCCAGTAAGCTTCCATCATCTATCAAACACTCAAGAAATTTAGTATGGGATATACTCTGCATGATACAAATAGCACACCTCCTATATTCATAAAGTCTCAAATCTATTATACTCATACCTAACGATTGGGCCACAAAATTTCCATCTTCCCTTACCGCATCAGGAGAAAGCAGCTTATCTAATAGTACTTCAATCTCAAGTACTTCACAGGTATAAGCAAAAATCAGCCAGCACCCTTTGCATTTTAAAATCTGAGTTACTATTGTCACTTTTGGAAGTCAGGCCAGAATTTTCCTGAAAGCTTTTTTTTCCCCCCTTTCTGCCATCACAAATGTCTTATAACTGGCTACCAAAAGTATCTGGAACAAGTAAGATGGACAGAAGTGCAATTTTTGGTCACTTGTATTCTCAGTGAGTGAATAGTCAAACTGTTGATCGATAATATGCTTCCTAATATTTAAAATTCATACCATCATACCACTGCACAATTTTATTGACATGATGTCTACAACATGTGAAAATACTTTAAGCTTATTATCTCTGAATGTATTTATTCCTAGTTTACTAGCAAATGCAAGCCAGCACTGGTTTTGAGTCAGAAAACTCCAAGACAATTCTGGCCCTGAGATTTGTTTCCTTTCTATCACAACATTTTTTAGAAAGAGCTGAAGTCGTAACATGACGACAGACAGTAAGAGTGAGTGCTGGCAAAAGGATATGGTCAGTAACTTGCCCATAACTATGAAATTTCTGGGTCATTATTCTCTTATCTGGGCACACTGCAAGGCTTATTTATTTTTCCCAAGCTACCCCTACAGTTAGGCAAATTGAATTTTGTTTCTGTAGTATTTGTACATGCAGCTAGAGATTCAGGTAGAAGCAATATTCTATAAGAAAAAACAAATAAATAAAAAAATCCACATGCCAAGTTTGATATAACAAAGTGTCAGTTTGCCTTATGCGCCAAACAAACTTAAGGTTAGTTATATTCAGTGGAAACAACTGCTAAGGAAATAGAACAGCTGTTGTACAAACAGATACGCAATAATAAAATTTTTTAACAAAATTGGATGACATGATGTTGTAGTACCAATATTATTTCAGTCCTTATTTTTGACAGTTTATACATGTATTTACCTTCTTCAGCTCAGCTCCAGACAACAACATTCACGGCCATAACCTCAAGTGTTCTTTTTCTTAGATTCCAGGTAAAGTGCAGAACTTTACCCATTTCTTTTGTTTATATTTTCACAAACTTACCAATTACTGGCACCATGCAAACACAGACCTGCCAAATTAGCACTAATGCATTTAATACTGGCACAATACATTAGTCATCTTTTTATAAAAAAAAGAATGAACAAGTTAATTGATTCAACTTAATTCATTTAAATGCCCAATTACAAAATTAAAAATTTGTCCTTCAAAACAGGGTCTAAATGCACAAAGAGAAAGAAAAAATTTACACTGACACTTTATGCACAACTTGGTCAGTGGCAACGGTCCCCTAAACTTTTTTTTTTTTTTTTAAATGAACCCACCAAAACTATACAGAATGTGAAATATTTCACAACAGATCTCTTAAAGGACAGTGTCAAGAAATTCATCATGGTGTACCTGATGTTTAAATTAACCCTAACAGATACAACCTGTAAAATAACACAGTATGAACCTGTGGCATTTTTTTTTTCTTTTTTTAAAAAAAGGACTTCTACAGAATTCAAGTAGTGTAGCAGGAAACCATAGATGCCTTTTGATCACAGGTCAGGCAAAGTAAAGCCACTTATTGGATTTTCTCCTTGCTTCTGTTTGCTAAGGTGTCCCAGTGGATCTATAAGTCTGTTGACGTTAGCTTTTTCATGCTCCGTCGCTGAGCTAAACTTGAGGCTGCAACAGGCTCTAACACTGGCTGAAACGTCTTGTGATTCAGTGCAGAATATGTAGCAGCCATGGCTCCCTAGAGAACAATGAAATGGATAACAAGTTGTAGAAGTTATTTTTAATCACCAAATAGAATAATTCAATATTAAGTTCATAAAGAGAATAAGATTTATGTTAGATCACATATGTTGTCTAAAGTTTGTGTTGAATGAAAAACACATTTATCACTGATTCCTTCAGCAAGGTACATAACATTGCTTTTCCTTTGCTGTGTATTTATTTATTTAACATACCTTAAATATAGTGGTTACCTTTTAACGTGAGTGGTACCTTCTAAGCAACAAATAGCATCAGTTTATGAAATACAGCCCCTTAAGTGGCTATTCAGGTCCTGACTTAGGAACACAACACTACTAAGACTGGCTTTCACAGCTCCCTAATCAATTTGGTTAGATTAAAAAACAAATTATATAAGCTGTTTACAGTAGAACATGCTTGTGTGTTGTAAGTCAGAATCACAGATACAAACTGAACACATAAAACAAGTGCAAAAACTGTAGCTTGATAATTTACTTAGGAAACACGATCTGGTCACAGAAACAAATCCCAGAAGATGTCACAGAATACCTGTAGTGGGAAGGAACCTTCAAGGACTATTGAGTCCAACTCCTGGCTCCATACTGAATTCAAACTGTATGTCTGAGAGCACTGGAGCACTGTCCAACTACTCCTCAAGCTCCAGCAGCTTGATGTTGAGCCCACTGCCCTGGGAAGCCTGTTCCAAGGCCTGAATTTCTCAAATAAGAATGATAGATCTGTGGAAGTTTCAGATAACTGAGATATCTGGTTCTTGTATGGCCAAAAGCTACCTTTATCTATGAAAGCACAAAAAGAACGAACAGAAATATTTCTTCCCTCACATACAGGTTAAAAAAATCTGTTTGCTTAAATAACTTATATGAAGATGTACATACTGGCAAAGAAAAAAAACTAAGTTCAAAAATCAGTTCTGTCAGTAAACTCTCAAAGTGATCCCAAATCATTGCACGTCCATTAACTCAAGCAATATACAGTCCTCAGGTTGTTTTACCTTTACTAGATGTGGTGCATCTTGTCTGTTTAGTTGATAATGGGGCAACTGGTCTCTACAGGCTATCCACGAATGTTTTAATACTTGTTCTGCTGTATACCTCTGATGCGGATCTACATGAAGCATATGTGATAACAAGTCCTAAATAAAAATGAAAAAAGATACATGCTAATTAAAACAATTTTAATATATACTTTAATTATGGCAGTAATGAAAAAATGTGGCAGGGATTAACACAATACAAACAAAAACATCAGTAGATAAATCAGATCATTTTGTGCCCTGACACTACAGAAGTCTGAAAACAATGTGTTGTTTTCAGTTTAACAAAGCAGGCCTTTATTGTTAAGAAACTTGTTGTTTCTGTGCTTCATATTTCAGTTTGTTCATTACTAATACACTCTATGAAAGACCAGAAATACTGTTAGAATTTAGCAGAAAGATTTTTATGGAAGAAAACTATGAATGTGGATGAATATCTACCAATACTACACACCTGGGATCTGCTGACTACACATTACAGTTGAATTCATATATAGCTATATATTAGCAAAATATTTTTCTTTCAACAAGGTATATAAAGAGTAAAATCAAATAAGAATGGACATTTTTCTTTGTTTAGAAGCACTAGTAATAAGCTATGAATTCAATGTTGGTCAAAAGGTGAACTGAAATAGGAAAGGCAGAGGAATAAAGACAGGAAGAACTTGAAAGAAAACTAAATGTGAACAAGCTGACAGAATGTTCCTTTTGTTTAGGCACAAAATATGAAACATTTATGACTATATACAAGTTAATTACTTGTGGATAAGACAGAATTAGCAAAAAAGTATTCTGAATCACTCCTATTGAAATGCACAAATTATGCAGTTCCAAAAGATCAGGAAGAGACAGTATTAATGCCAAGATTTATAAAAGGTAAAAAACGGTGACTAAGATACCTACAGAGCAGGCCAACACTAAACCCCTAGAACACATGCTGCAATTGTAATTCAGTCTTCAAATAAAAGGACAGCATCATAATCAAGCTGATAAAGATTTGCAAGATATTCAAACATACTGAAGTATTAGTTTAATATTTGGAAGTAACAACAAAAACAGTAAAGACGTGACATGAACATGACATGCTGAACAAGTTAAAAGCATGAACTGAACCTATACTATAGAAATAAACATATCAGTGCAAAGTAAGTTGCTACTAGAAAAAAGATAAATGGAAGAATGACTTTACAATTAAGCAATGCCACATACATCTGGTTTTGGTCCAGTAAAAACAATGACTAAAAAGATTAGGATTAAAATTAGATTTTAAGAAAGATAGATCCCAAGTTAGTGACCTGTGGGAAGTAACAGTGTGTAACTCAGGTTTTTACTGTATACTTCTAGTTCACTTCTCACTAAAAACTGGTAAATTGAAGGGCTGGCAGCTATCCAATGGGATCCAGGCAGGATAGAGTTATGAGCCAGCCAGAACCTTACAAAATTCAACAAAAACAAATTGAAAGTCCTCCACCTGGGATGGAGGAAATACTTGCCAACTACAAGCTGGGGATTGACTATCGAGGGAATTGCTTTGCTGAAGATAATGTGGAGGTCTAGATAGGACAGCAAGCTGAACTACCAAGCATGACTCAACATGCTCAGGAAGTCCAACAGCATCTTGGGTTGAAACACAGGAAGTAGGTTGAGGGAGGTAACAGAAGACCTTTACTGAGGCCAAAAGAATGAAGGCTGAGAAAAATCAAGAGATGTTCCACAAGGCATGTTACTTGAAATCAGGAGGATATTTTTCCTCATTTGCACAGTAAAAGCTGCCTGGACAAGTTGTACAAAAACCTTGGAGGTTTTCAAGATCAGACTTAAGCCCTGAGCTACCTGCTCTAAAACACTGCTTTTGAATCATAGAATTACAGAATTCCTCAGGTTGGAAAAGACTTTCAAGACCATCAAGTCCAACCAGAACCTAACCATACTACCCTAATTTTAGCAAATCACATCCCTGAACACCACATCCAAACTGTTTTTAAACACATTCAGGGATGGTGACTCAACCACCTTTCCGGGGAGCCTATTCCAGTGCTTAACACCCTTCTTTACAGGAAGTTTTTCCTGATATCTAAACTAAACCTCCCCTGACACAACTAGATTCCTGCAGACTTTACTGTAATACTGCAGTTAAGAATAGCAAACTGTGTTAGCCTAATATATTTTAGTAAGCTCAATAGATGTTCTTTTAAATGCCACAAAGTAACCAAGGGAAAAAAAAGCAGAAAAAAATTTATACCTTTGCTGCATCAGAAACAGTGTCCCAGTTGCCTCCACTTAATGAGAATTTTCCACTGCCTATCCGTACCAGGATCTCCTCAGGAGTATCATTAGGACCATTTGCAAACGGAGTATAGCTATTGAAAAGGAGCAAAAAAGCCTCATAAGAAGCTAAGAAATTGATAAAACCTCATAAATCATTCTGAGTAAATATTCCTCTAACAGAGACATTACATACTATCAATACTTACAGTTTCAAAGATGAAATGCTACTACATTTTCTTTTTCCCATAATTATAGTTACATGGAATAAATGAGAAATGCAGATTGAAAAGATGCTTTAACTTCTTAATAATGCATTCTAACTAGTGAAGACTTAGAAATTATACAGAATGATTCATAAAAACAAAAACTATGGTATATAATAAGCATTCAAAGCAATTGAAACCCACTAACAGAAGGGCTAGTAAGGCTAGAGTAATAGTGTTGGGAATGTATGTACATTTAGACACAATGAGCAAAACATGCACATATCTCTAGGGCAAAACTGCAAGAATATTCTTGATTAAAAAACAAAAAAACACCAAGAGTTAGTAAGGCTTACACTACAAGATCATTGGGTTTTGATTTTTTTTATAATAGCTTACTGGATTTCTGTAAGTTCAGGTTATTTTCCTAAAATTCCTACTATAAAGAATTCAAAAAATAGCTGAATGACTTAAATACACACCTTATGCAAATATCAGAAGTATTAAATGTTTTATTAAATGTTTCGGCATCTTCTATGATCACAGGCTAATATTAAGTTAGTTTTAATAATAACAAATGTTACTCAGATTAATTAAATTTTAACACCTCTTAAATTTCAAATCAGCAAGATGAAGTAATAAAACTTAATGCATCATATCTTTGCACTTTGAAAGCTCTACATAGAATAAAGGTCAACCAGCATCATAAGCAAGTGTTTAGGAAGTATCCCAGCAGCTTAATTCTAGTACTTCAAATGATATGATTAAGGGGAACAAAATAGAAAGCTAAGAAATCACGCTGGACTGTTCTTCTCCTGTTCTTGTTACCTGCCATATCTTCTTATTCAGACAATGTTTCTTAACTTCACAGGCAGCATACTGCCCAAGATCTGCATGGTTGCACATCAGTCATGCAGTGAGCTGAGCTTGATGACAAAATCATAGTGGCAGTAGTGATTTTACACAGAAAAGCACAATATGATCAAGAACAGTTCCCAATAGATATTTATCTGTATGACAAAATTTATTTTTATACCTGTCAGGAGAATTCATAAGCAAATTTATAAAAGCTATTAGTTTAAGTGCTTTATAGTGCTTAATGAATGTTTAGAGTTTCGAAAACTTAGAAGTTTACAAGTCAGAGAATTCTGTAAAAGGGTCATGAGCCAAGCCTGCAGAAGATGATACATGAGTTGATTACAAGGGCATTACAATGTGGGCAAAAGAAGGGGCAGAAGGATTAAAAACAGGAACTAGATATACTTTTACAGACTAAATTATCTCTTATAAACTACAGCAAGTCTTTGGCATCCTCTGGCCATGTACTAGGGAAGAAAGAAGTCCTGAAACTAACTGTAAGATAAACCTAGTTTCTGTATGCATTTTTAACTTGCAGCTTCCTATTCCACTTAAGTGTCTTTTGTTCTGCATTCAAATCAGTGAAGCAATCTCTTAAAATTTTAAGAAAAGCAGGGATTTGTGCAGCATGCTGAAGTTGTAGGTAAGAAAAAAAAAGCTAAAATTTCCTTACCCTGCCAACATTGTGTAAAGGAGAACACCCAAACTCCATATGTCACAAGCAGCATCATATCCCTGCCGCATGAGAACCTTGGGGGGAAAAGAAGTGTTAAGAGACTTTTCATTTATTAAAAAAAAAAACAACAAGAAAAAGCAAAAAACTCCAGCCCCCACATGCAACCCCAAACCACTACCACTACGCACACAAGCTATGGATGGATAAGTCAGTCCTAGTATAGGTTGAGGTTTCATCATTAGTTGTTCTATATACAAGTTACAGTTACTATCTACAATATTTCTTGTTTCCAGAAAATTATCTTAAGGTTCAAATCCATCCTTATTTCCTGAAGGTAAATTATTTTAAATTTAACCTTTTTAAAGTGGGTTATTATAAACATATAAGTACTTAATCAAGACTGGTGCATAATTATATCTAAGAAAAACTAGCAGTTTTTTTTTTTTTAAACTATTTAGAAGTTTTTTTTTTTTAATTTTAATTCTTTTTTAAGTAAGTTGATGCACAAAAAAAGCACAGAAGACACATGGCAGCTTAAGATACCTCTGGTGCCACAAAGTTTGCAGTGTAGCACGGAGTTAGAAGTAGCCCATTTTCTCCTCGAAGTTGTTTTGCAAATCCAAAATCACAAATCCTGATTGAATCAGCATTATTTGAATCATCCATATATAAAATATTACTAGGTTTAAGGTCACGATGCACTACCTTTAAACAAGAAATTTTAAAAGCCATCATTCAGATGACATACAAACACATGTACGTGCAGTTTTGTTATTTACAAAATATAGTCTCTACATTAGTATACCTATTAACACTTCTACACTATTACCCAGCTTTCAAGTAACATAAAAAAGTAAACTCAAAGCCTACTAGTTCATAATGCAAATGGAATTAACAGAACCAACTTGCAAACAAGCATAAGTGCACAAATATTGTCTGTTTCATTATCTGTACAAGTTAAAATGGTTTGCAGAATAATAGGTGGGATGGGTTGCTAATTACTTCTTTAAAAAACAAAACAAGTCTTCCTTTCTGCAATAAGAAAAACACATAAGATACGTTTGTTAATTCAAAGCAACGTGGATGAAGCTATGACAAAGAGAGATCACTCACTCCTTGGCAGTGCAGGTAGTCCACAGTCTTAGTGATAGTATATAATACAGCGCTAGCCTCTCGTTCTGAGAAGAACTTTTGTCTAAGAATTCGATCAAGCAGCTCTCCTCCCTTCATCAGCTCAGTGACGAGGTATATGAATCTACCATCATCATACACCTGAAGTTGAACAAGCACATATATACACACACATTCAACCACATCATCTATAATTACAGATCCTGAAAAATCTGGAAATTATAGACTATACTGTTCACCTATTCATGTGCATGAACATGAAGTGCAAACAGCAAGGACTCTCAAATTTAAATCCATAATTCAAAAGCTTTAAAGTCTGAAGTATAAAGAAAGCCTATATGTTATTCTGTGAGAAGTTGAGATAATAAATCATTAAATCATGACTTAGAATAATGCTTCCTCAGTCTAGGAACTTCTGTTTGTAAGAGGAAACTAGCCCTACCATTCCCTACTCCTTTTCCCCTCCCATAGATGGTTTTTTAAAGTGCTGACACTTTGCATACACATGACACATGCAACTGTATTTTCAGATTTAAATTACCAACACATTTGAAATAAGAAAAATATGACTTTTAACAGGTACATCATTTATCATTTTAAGTTCATTTAACAATCTTCAGAAAATATCAGTATCCAGACAATTTAGAAAGAATCAATTCTTTATAATTAAGAAAGATCAATACATATATTTTGCTATGTAAAAGAAAGTTTATAAGGCCCAATAAACTCTCTATATCTATGTTTATTTATTGTATATTTTGTAACAAAGTAGGAGACAAAGGTACCTACATCCTTTAAAGTTATAATGTTTGGATGCTGTCCATAACGCATGAGAATCTCAATTTCTTCTGAGGGATCCCTCTTGCTTTTATCAATTATCTGAAAAATAAAGTAACAAAAAAATCTTGGCAAGTTTAAAAAATTGCAAGAGTTTAATGCTTATTTATAGTTATTAATTTCATCTTCCAGCTTCACATCTCTGTTTACTCAGTTCTTGTAACATCTTTGCTACCAGTTAAGGTTTGTATCATTGTCTATTCTGCTCCAGTGGGCAAAGGAACTGACGTAACTGTCTGAAGCATCACTTCCCTGCAGCATAGCCCCAACCTAGTGGATCTCACCTGCTTTATTTCAGGTGTGTTCATCACAATACAATATTCTTAAGCTTCAGAGCTATAATTTCAAAAGCCAATTCCTCAATGCCACAACTTCACCAACAAAAAGAACTATAGAAGCCTATATGCAATTTCACTTAATGAAGAATACTCATCGTTCACAGTATATTAACAGCTACAGTAACTGGAGAACCCATGCATTTAAATTAATGTCTGCTACAAAAGAAGGCAATGAAGTCACTCAAAATACCTTTACAGCAAACTCCATATTTGTAGCTATGTGTATACATCGCTTGCAAACGGAGTAGGAACCAACACCAATATCTTCCTTCAGTTCATACACGTCAGTAAACTGCGCGCTGTTCCCATGAAGTTGCTTTAGAAACAAACACATACAAAGCTGTCACCTAGAACTCTTTATAACAGTACTATTTTCAACAGCAAAGGTTTTTTTGTTTTGTCTTTGTTTATTTCTTTTTTTTTAAGCTTGCCAGTGCTTTTTTTTTTTTTGAATACTCACACCAGAAAATTTCACCTCCCCACATCCCCAATTCTGGAGTTAAAATAGGCATTATTAAAGTGACTCAACAGAATATTTTATAATGGACTCCACAACATAAAATAACAGACTGCAAATGTTAGGTTCTGGCATTTGAAAAATTACCAAAAAAAATTTTACCTGTACTATTGGCAGTATGTTGGTGAGTGGTGATATTTTATGATCTTCTACAGTAGTTGTTGCAACAAAACTAAATCCTTTAAAGAGCTGATGTGCATTCGCACTAGGTGGAACTCCTGGAGAATCTAGTTGCATACACATTTGATTAGTATGACTAAAACTTAAAGCTATTTTTGACTGTTTGCATGTTAGAAGAAAGATTGAGGAAAGGAAAACAAAAGTAGCATTATGCATTGAATAAGATTCCTATCCTGTGATCTGCCTTGTTTTTGTCTTTTTTCCTTTCTTTCAGCAAACTAAAGAAAAGGGAAGCCTGGACAGATTTAAGATGAAATTAACAGCTATTCTCATTATAACAGAGCTGGTCGTGCCTTCCACATTCCTTGTCATCACATCTAGAGAAACAGTAATTAAAAGAAAGAAAGAAAAAAAATACTATGTTAATAATAAATGCTACAGTGACTTAAGAAGGTGTTGAGTTTACTTATGTTTTACACCATAAAATTCATATCTCACCAGCTCCAATCTCCTAATTTAGCACAGAATGGAAATATGATATTAAAATTTATTTGACCCCTATCAACCCATAACACTCACCAACTTAAAAACAGTGGATGCATATTTACCTTTTGGTGTTTTTGCTGTAAATTCTGGATCAAAACAAAAGGTATCTTCTGGTTTTCCAGAAGCAGGTTTAAATGGGGGTTGAATTTCTCTTCTGAACAGTTTCTGTAGTAGGATGACAAAAGTCATAATTAAAGAGTGAATGAAACTTCCATGGTTGCTGTAATTTCACCAAGCTAAAGGCAACTCAAACAACTCAAGTGTCACCTTTGTACTGGAACAGTTTTCTGAAAGAGTGAGTAACACACAGTAATCAGAAAAAGCACACACGCATGCAAAAATGAAGTTCTATTTACATGTCTTCGATTTGAAACATTATGGGAAATGTTACTCAGCAAGTCAAACAATACTTCCTTTCTTGCTCTTCTGAATCTGTTTTGTCTATCAAGTCTGCACTTAGGGTAGCAGGCTGCCTCTTATCCCTAGTTCTTTTCTCATTTATTCAGACAAACAGTCATAGTGCATCTTTTATCCTTACCTCAGATCTAGTTCATTGTCATTTCAAACAGTTGTTACCATCCCAAAATATCCAAACTGGAAAGATATGGGATACAGTCTTTGCTTTTGTCTTGGACCCAGAATAGAAGCAGCTCTCACAACTGACAGATATATATCCCTTTCAGCAAGGTACTGCCAATTCCCAAAGCAACTATTCCAGGTTTTTCCTGACCTACTCAACTAAGCCTAAATGAGAGAAAGAAAAGGCTCCGCATTTTCTTCTCATTCACTCAATAGGCTTCAGAAAAATGCTTTGCCAAAGGATAACAAACCAGCAATATAAGTCTAGTGAAATTTTCTGTAACTATAAACATTAAATGATGTCAAAACCCCATGCTAAGCTCAGAAAGTTCTGAGAACATTTTTTCTTGGCATTTGTCTTGCACTGTCAGACCTCTCTGCAGGTAATATTTCAGTAACGAATGTACTTCCCCCTAGCCAAAACCAGGAACATATGAGAAAGAGAGACCTGTACTCATCTCAAAGAAAATGAAATAAACACTGAAGTGTTCATCAATATCACCATAGCCAAATAAATACAAGAGTTAGAACTGCAGAATTTTTGAATTTGCTTGCTTGTGTTTATTTCCAGCTCAGCCCTCTCCAAAAAACACTAGCTAACTTAAGACCATATTAAAACAGCCTTCTCTCACTAAGTATATTCACATAAAATACTCCCATTACTTAAAACTCTGCTTGCTAATCTGTACTCTCTATGGAGATGCTGCATAAACACAGCTAGAAAGCCAACTTCTCAGAAGTAAAAGAGAAGGATAATGACAATAGGCTATAAAACAGTTAAGCACAGTATTGACTAGCATTGCAGGCAATCTAGTCAGCACAGCAACTGTTCCATCTACCCTTTCATAGGCGTTATAGCAAGGGAGTGTTTACAGAGTATCTTTACTTGTTGCGAATGTTTCTGGGCAACATATCTAAAAAGGCATCACATCAAGGTGATAAAAACATAAGAAAGCAGCCGTGAACTTGGACAGCAATCTGATCAACTCAGAGCACCAGAGTCAATACTTCAACTGTGTGGAATATGACTAGTAAGACCGGAATGTGCTACAGCTAACTACAGCTAAGCCAAAGAAAACGACAGTCACAGTGAGGTTTTGTGCCCTGCACAGAAGGCATGAGACATGCTTCAACTGGATGGACACTTATTCCAGAGAATGATTCTTGCACACAGTGAATGCCAACACCCTCTACTAACTACAGATGTTGTAAGAGACAGTTTAAAATTCAGAATGTTGCAACTCTAATTACTGAACAATTAAATGCCCACTTTATAATTAATTACTGTATACCATAAACACTACAGCTCCAGATGCTAAGCAAGATTACAGCAGAAGCCAGAATGTAAGAGTCAGCAGTACTGCAGTATTTACTGTACCCTATTCAGATAGGAATACCTATAAGCTATAACAATACACAAATTGAAAGATAATTTTGTATCATCTTTTATTCAGATATTTATCGTATCTATAATTCAGATAATTTTCCACTTACATTCCAGTCAACAGTAGAAAAAAAAGGATGCCTCTTGATTTCTTCAACTCCATCTGAACCAGCTCCTGAATAAAGAAAATACTCAATTAAAAAACTCTTTTGTGGTAAAGTCTTTGAACAAAATTGCATGAAAAGATGCTTAGTTAGTTAGTTTGTTTTTTTTTTTTTTAATCTTGCATAAGGCTTTTTTCTTTTTTTTATAGGAACTCTTAAAATCAGAAATATTTCAAGGAGACAAAATATATCACTAAGCACATTTGCCTCCCTGATGAGGTACATGAGAATAAACAAAGCCCATAAATATAGAGTTGTCAATACTTGGTCAGTTTTATTCTCACTGCTAAAAGAGTCATTGGTTCAAGAAAATAATCATTCATTAGCCAGATTCAAGAATTCATGACCTAAGCTGCCAAGAAATGTCACCAGAAGTCAAATTTTACTGATCATCAACACCAAAGCTTGAAAAATCCCCAGCAGCTGCTTTCCTTAAGTAACAAACTCAGCCCATTGACTTTCATTTCAATGATCCAAACAAGCTGACCCACCTAATCTATTTGATGGGTTCCTTTTAAATAACATCCTAAGAAGACTTTGTGCTTCAGGGCTGAGGAACTGAGGCATACCAAGTTTTGCTCTAGAAGAAAACAGAAAAAGTAAGAAAACAAAATTTATCTTAGTGAAAAGAGTGGATACAGGCTTCACTGCATTATATGATGCATTAAGAATTTATTCTAAGTTCTTGTATACACATTTAACTCATTAGCTTTTCACTTTCACCTTATACATCAATGGTTACCAAAAGCAAACAAAAAAAACCCACTAAGAATAAATAATACTCTCTCCAAGCCCCCTAAACAAGTTTTATGCTAGAATTAAGTAAAGCAATTATCTTGGAACATGTGAACAATTCAAAAATATCTTCAAGTCATCAGTATGTTGTCACCAAACCATCTACTAGAAATAAGGTCTGAAGAAACTCAAATTCCAAATTATTTGACTAGCTATTAGTCCCTGAAGTGACTAACCTTTCACAGTAAGCAACACTACAAATGCAAACTACCATGTTAACAGAGCTGCTCCTTCATCCCTTTCTTAACTATCACCCCCTCAAAAGGCCCAAGACTCTGCATGTAGTCCAAAGGAAATTCTTTTTAACTAAGCACAAACAAAGGTGAGAACATTTACCTAACAGCTTCCCTTAGAAGTTACCAGCTTACCCAGTTAGCCCTGTCAGACAACTTACGTTTCGTTTCAACTGAGGTAATGTAATATGAAAATGTGAATGCATAAGTGCACTGTACATATATATGTACATAAAGAAACACCTGATTAACTATTGCTTACAAAACAAGGAATTCTGTAACAGTAGCAATATATAACACCAGAAGTGGCAAGTAATGCTGTTCTAATACACTGTACTGTTGTTATTTTTTATTACACACCTACAGTGAAAATACAAGTTCATCCCTATGATATGCAGATACTCAGCAGCATTTCCATAGTCTAGGATCTAAACCTTATTTCTGTGTGCATGAAGGTGCGGGGAGCTTTTGTGTTTCTGTTCCAGTTTTAATACTCTCAAGCAAGAGCTGTTGCACATGTTTAAATTACTCTTTAGAAAGTCAGAAAGTGTAATAAAATATACTTACTTCAGTATCATATTCATAGTTTCATTTCGATCTTTACCTTGAAATGGTAGTGTACCAGTAAGCATTTCAAACTGAAAAGAACAAATGTTAATCTAAATCAACACTTTTTCCCCCCAGATGCTTAAAGTGCTAAGTACTGCACTCTTCCCATTGCTACATTAGGCAAACTGGCACAAACTTTTAAAGATATTTAAAAAAAATCTACAAATCTAAAAATTGCATTTAATCAGTAGTTTCCATAATAGTGGCAAATGTAAGGTAACGATAATGTTGGAATATCTTACATAAGCTACTTTAATTAGAGTAATAGAATGCCTTCTGTAACCTTACGTTAGATACTGCTGTACTATGAAAGCAGCAAGAAGAACAAGTTCTAAAACAGTACTTTACTTTTAATGTCAATATGTATATTTCACACTGATGCTCTAACACATTACAGCAAACATGTAAGTGCTAGCATTACTGGCTCACTGCTATGCTGCACTACAATTAGCCTGCTAGGCACTACTCTTATAAAAACACCATTAATAATCCATTTTTACTCCATGCTTTTAAGTAGCATGGAGAATAAATACACAAACTGGAGTTTAACACTATGACAACTGTTGAGCAACTCAGTGGACCACGTACATGATTTGAGGTTCCTAGCAAGTACTCCTTACAGTGCTATGCAGCTATAAAGTTTTACTCAAATTAGTTTTTATTTCAGTAGCACTTCAGTTGTCAACTTTTCTCTCCCTTGCTTAAGCTTTCTTCAATCTGGACAAATCTATTCTAGGCATTATTTCATTCACTTCAAACATCAGCAGCATATTTATGACCCTTAAGCCAGGTAAGCAGCAAAGTATACAGTACCATAAGAACACCAAAGGACCACCAGTCAGCACTCTGGTTGTGCCCACGCCTGTTTACTACTTCCGGTGCCATGTATTCTACAGTACCACAGAAAGAATAGGCCTTCTTCTCTTGATCTACTGATTCTTTGCTGAGTCCAAAATCTACAACAACAGCATTACAAGAACACAGCCAGTAAAGAATTTTAAGAGAAAACAACACTGTAAATAGTTTTTCAAAATAAAAGTGTTGACAGATTGTTTGCTTGCTTATAAGAACATCATGTCATTATCCCAATCCTTCATGAAACAGGATACTGCAGATATCCAGAAACATCAGAAATTTAGTTCACCATATGCCAGAGACATTCTATGAAGTAGTGATTAGCCATCAGTGTTACCACTCAAAATATTAGTAACTCAATATTTTAAACATTACATACTCAGAGCCTTACAATAAACAAATTTTCATTTCCTACTTACACTACCTGCTTAATTCTTACAGAAAAATATTACAAGTAAATGCATTTTGTAGAATGTAGGCTGTATTTACTGAATGATTTAAAAAGTCTCCTTGACATTAGTTCAATTCTCAAGACAAGGCTCTCAGCATTCCCTTCTCTGAAAAGGGAAAGGATTCCCAATGAATTAGTCTTCGCTTTCAGAAGGAAGGAAGAATTAAGACTGAATTTAAGTATATTATGTAGAATTTTAAAAACGCTGCCTTTTATAATTGTCCATCACCATTATTTAAGTCTTTGAGACTTTAAACAGTTTTTTTCACTCAGAATCTAACAGCAGTATCTACAGACCAAAACATAAAATGAAATTTATACTAGTTTCACTTTAAATGTAATATTTAGAAATGCATAGTCATTTATATTTTCCACATATTCAAATCCTTTAGTTCTGTACATAGTATATTCTAGATGATATATTTCCATTGTTCCTTATAAAGCATATTACTGCAATTTCTAATGCTTATTTACAGTGTTAAGCCCAAAACATAGTAACAATAATAATAATAATCTAGAAGCCTTTTTACACAAAGAACACAAAAAGGAAAAGTTTCCAACAGCAACTTTTAACCAGACTGGCCTCATCTCAGTTATTACTTATACATCTCTTAGGTTCTTAACTAAGCTTACACAGACACACACACACAAAGTGCTGTACTAATAAATGTTGCCTACCTGTTAGCTTGATATGTCCTGCTTCATCAAGCAAAATGCTGAAAATTAAAATTCACATTCACCAATAGACATAAACAGAAATATTTCATGTAACATTTAAAATGTAGTAGTTCATAATTTTTATCTCCTCCAACATCCATCATTAAATTAACAAGTCAATATTACATTTAAGTTACAGATGCATTTTACTTTAAAAAATTACCAAAATATTTTCAATTTTTTACATGACTATAGCAGAAAAGGCAAAGCAACAAGCAAAATACATGTAATAGTGGTAAAATACATTTTACTTTACTTTTCTGGCTTCAGGTCCCTGTATACAATTCCCAAGCTGTGAAGGTGATCCAAAGCAAGGGCCAGTTCTGCGAGGTAGAATTTCACATCTTCCTCTGTAAACATAACCTAATAAGAACTGTATAGATTTACCTTCTGATCTTGTCTTCAATTTTTAAAACTGCAATCTAAAAAAAAAAAATTCTCCTATCTGCCTACCTTCAAAACAAGATTTAGCAGTAATTTGTATGAAATGATAATTCAGCAATTTACCTACCAGATATTATATGATAATACACACTAATCATCATGATAACCATCAAGTAAAAGAACGATCTGCAATATTTAAAAATAACTGCAGTTACCACAGAGCATTGGCTAATTTTCAAGGTAATTAATTTAATTGTTGTATTTGGTGTTACTGACCTCTAGGATTCCTTCAGCCACAATCCTACACACACTGCCTGCCACTGCATCCTAAGTTTACATACAAGCAGCTATTTTTCTGGCATTATCACCAGGTGTGTCAACTAACATTAAAAGTATTCAGAAAAAAATTAGAAGTATGTAAAGTAAAATATCTTGTGAAAATAACAGATGAGAAAATTAGCAGTAGGATCTGAAGAGCCTAATCTCCTCTTAAGAAAATTTAAAAGGCCCTACAAAGACATTGAAGAACTAACTGAACTTGCATGCTTGCATACATGCACTTTATAGAGATGATTTTTTTGTCCAAAACACTCAGCTGGTTGTTTCTAATTTTCACATACAACTGTGAAAATTACAACATTGTATCTGCTTTGGCTTTTGTCAAGTTCTAGAAATTATGAGATAAACTAATAATCTTCAAGTTTAAAACCTCAAATTCAATTCCAAAAATTAAGTCAACTATTCTCTATTTCTCAAAAGAACTAGCAACAAGAATAGTCATCAACTGCACAGTAAGTAATAAGACTTAATATTACAGTCATTGGACTTACTGATTTAGTAGTACACTGATCAGTACTTTGAATTGCACAATAAATATGTAATCTGTTGCACTAGCAATAAAAATACTTCCAATTTCCATGTCAGTTATTCATATTGTATGAATGATGAAGTTGTTACATGACAAAAACAGCACACAAGAAATTTCACTTTTTTTTTTTTTTAAGAGCAATGTTGATTCTTTTTCATCTATATCCAGAAAGGAAAGATAACATTATTCTTTGGAACAGCCAAAATGCAAATCTCAAAAATATAACAATGCTAAGTGGTAATCCACAGCCTTGGAATAATAATTTCATTTAAAAACTACTTTGCGTTAAATTAAATACAATGCAAGTCAATGTCATTAAATTTTACCAACGAAAACCTCATTAACTACTCATTTAATTTCCACAGTTGAAACTCCCATACCCGCATTAGAAGTTCAACACCGACAAAAGCATTTTAATAACCTCATACTAAACCCAATTAACTTAAAATAATCCTCATATAGAAAGTATGAAATGCTGTGGGGAATTTACATTTGTGTGTATGCCTTTGCATTAGCAGGCATTTTTGAAAACACCCTTTCTTCATAACAGAAAACAGGCACCATTTCCTCTTATACACAGATACAGCAAATGTTTAAAAGCTATCTTAACAGGTAACTGAAGTCTTCAAAAAAGTATAAAATTAGTAAGAATAACCTCACAATTATTAATTCTTTATACCTGAGGGGAGTACATAGCTGATTCAGCCATCTAGTTACCTTTATTATGGATAAACTTGCATCCCTTAACTTAAGTATAGTCAGTAATCCTCGCTGCATTAGTGCAGAAGAACAGTTCTTCGTACTCTACCAGAACATCCTCTATAATCAGACAGCCTATGTCAAAGCAGAGAGACTCCTTTCCTACCTAGAGTTCCAATAACCCTTTCTACGGTATGTCTACCCCCTTGACAGAGCTTTTAATCTTTATTTTTAGAACTTAAAGTTAATAGTGCTCATTTCTTAGAGATGACCAGTGTTCTACCAAGGTCAACTTTCTTTAAAATAAATTAAAAATTTACATTTAGTAAAACTTGATTTTATTTTATTTTTTTTTTTTTAATTTGAAGAGAGTAGAGGAGTTCATGGACTTAGGTACTGAGGAGACAACCACCTCCACCTCTATACCATTAAAAAAATAAATCAGATACTTTTCCAGATGAGGAAAAAGTGGGTAACTTCTTCCATATTTATTTATTTAAAAAAAAAAAAAAACACAGGAAAAGCTCTTTAAATGCAAAGTTGTTGGAAAATTTTCCATTAAAAATTTAGAGCTTTATGGATGGTTTGTAGAAAGAAAAAAATCTTAAGATGGTAATACAAATACATGTAATACAAAAAATCTTTAGACTTGTCATAAAGTAAGAGGCAGGCTGTGTCACATCTCCTCTGCCATAACTCACTCTCAAGAAAGCAATGTAAATGAAAAATTATAGCTCCAGTTACATGCCAAAGTTAGATGGCAGAGGAGTGCCTTCAAAAATGCTCAAGCCTTTGTGAGATTACACACTGGGATTTATTTTACAATGCAGCAGAAATCTCTTAGAGATGCAGGTTTCAAGGAACATCTACACTGACTACAAGCAAAAAACTATAACTGCTTTAGTGACTGTTGAATTTTAACTTACTTCAGTTGGGTTTCCAAGCAACAAAACATTTTTAGACAAAAGAATTGGCCTTTGTAGATACCAGAGAAAAGCTCAGGTTGCTAGCTAAAAAACATTTAAGGTTACAGCTTGTTATTCTGCAATATGCAAGGAAAACCCAACAAAGTTCTGGTCATGGTCAAATTTTCAAGAATAACGAGGGTAACCAGCAAGGAAAAAAAAAAAAGGAACCCTAATACTGTCAAAGACAACTTCTATAAGACTGAGTTAAGATAAAATTGTAAGTACTTACCTCTTTGGATAATCGTGTGAATACATCTCCTCCCCTGAGAAAATCCAATATTAAATATAGCTTCCCTTCAGTCTGAAAGGCTTTCAAAAAAAAAAAAAACAACCAACAGTTATGTTTTGTAGATCATCTTTGTCACACAAATCTGAATGTTTTTACAACACGTAAAACTTCAACTTCAGTGAAACAATGCTTTTGTTTTGGAACTGACATAATTCAGTTGCCAACGTGAAAATTTACACAAGTTGCTAATCAAGGCTTAATTTTAATCAATAACTCCTTGCTTGCTTCTTCACAGAACACAACCTTAGTCATAAGAGATTGTTAACACACTGTTGTTTAATTTCTGCTTTGCCAAACAGGGAAACCAAGAACTTTAATGGCTGTTTTGGTCTAGCTCAAACATAGAAGTCTCTGCAGAACTCTTAAGAAGAGTTTTCAAAAGAAGTCTTTCATTTCAAAAGTACCTTATCAAAAAATTAATATTGTTCTTGTTTTATCTGTGATAGAGTTAATTTTCTTCCTAGTGTTGTGTTGTTGACTTAGGATGAAAATAAAGTTGACAATGCACTTCTGTTTAGCAGCTGCTGGGCAGTGCTTGCACAGGCCAAGGATGTTTCAGCTTCTCATGTGGCCCTACAAGCAAGAAGGCTCTAGGGGCAGAAGGAGCTGGGAGGGGATAGAGCCAGAACAGCTGACCTAAACTGGCCAAAGTGATGGCACATGGAGTCATGCTGAACAGTAAGACTGGGGGAGTTGACCAAGAAGGGGGCTCACATTGCTTAGGGCCTGGTTGGGCACTAGTCACGAGGTGGTGAGCAATTGATGCACAACCCTAATTGCTTTGTTTGTTCTTTTTGCTTTTAAAATTTTGGTGTTTTTCTTTTTTTTAGCAATTTGCTGGGTGAAACCCACAATACATATATAAATCTAAACACACACACAAGTTCTTTTCTCAGCCTTGCTATTTAAGGTTGCTAAAACCACTTCAAGTAATGAAAAAATTGAAGCAAAATAAATACCAACCATAGTGCAGTTTGACGATAAATGGGTGATTTACTTCTACTAATATATCTCTCTCCATTTTCGTACGAACTCTATCCCGAACTGAGGAAAAAAAAGAGCACCAGTAGCAAAATTTAATGGGTGAAATATGAATGGAACAGAAACCTGGAACATCTGTACTGTCCAAAATACTTTTACCTTTTTAACAGCACAAAGCGTTGTTACCATATCTGATTTTTAAGTCTTCTGTAGGACATGTTTTCAGACATCAAAACTTAGTTCCCTTTCTTACCTGTCTCAGCTTCCTGTTTTAACTAACTTTAACTTCTAAACTATTTGTACTGAATACATATGTCCCACCTGTTAAGATCACTTTATCCCTCTTCAAGTACTAACACATCCCATTTGTGTGGGATTGCCTCCATTAAAGTACCTCCTGAAAGCCAAAAATCTCTAAGTTACCTCACTAGGTCACCTATGAAAATTAATGACTTAAATTTCAGCCAGAATAGAGTTTAACTTGAGTATTTAAGTTCACTTACTCAGTTCATTAATGCAAAAAAAAAACCTCCAAAACTAAGCAGATTTATATAATACAGTTTTAAACTCTGAAAAAAAGGACATTTTACTACATAATTAAGCCATCTGGTCAGATTTGAACTCACATTTTTTTATCTTAAATCTTTTATCAAAGAAATATTTAGACACATTTAAGACAGGTGCTAAAACCTACTTTATAAAGTTTAAGTAAGACAACAGACATACCTTTTAAAGAAGCTTTTTTCAATACTTTCATTGCATAAAGTTGTCCAGCATCAGGACCAATTATTTTCCTTACGAGGAAGACCTAGTAATATAAACATTGCCTTTAAAATCACAACTAGAAATATTTTACATATATATTAAAATCAACCTTTTTTCTTTCCTTTTTTTTTTTTTTTAAACACCATTACTTTTAACTTCATCAATACTGACAGAGAACAGAGAACATATCCCTAGTCCACATCCCACTCCTCAAAAACACCACAGGATGAAAAGATGAAACATTTGCAACAAGGCTTTTTGCATAAGCAAGATCGATAAGCAACTAGAAAGCTACCACAAAGCATTTGCAGGCTTCTTACTAATTTCAGACAACTTTTGGTATTCTTCCCTAAGCATCCACTTCTAAGGAAAAGACAAAATTGCACTACCTTGGTCAAATGAAAGGCACATACACTACCAAGTTCTCTTAAGCACACAGACCTTTCCTCAACAATATATTCTTTCCTATAGCTAGTAAGTATTTATCAAATAGAATGCCTGGATAGCATGAGGTTTTTTTTTGTTTTGTTTTGTTTTTTTACTTTCTTGAAAAGAACTATAGCAGGACTATCTGATCTGCCACTGCTTAGTCTAAGATTTTTGAGGTTTAAGACTTGAGATTCAAGTACACATCAGGTTATGTTAATCAATTCTGTAAGAATGGAGAGACAAAGGCAAGGAATCCTCATTATTTGTAATCAAAGTAATCCCTCCCTCTGAAAAAGAAACAGCAACAGGTTTTCCCCACTCTTACCAAAGGGGTTTTTACACTATATGGTATATAACTTAACACTAAGAAACTTATAATGCTAATTAGAAAATGCAGCACGAATACATGCATCTCCACCAACTAATATTCTAATGAATATTCTATCAGTCTTTCAGTTTTATAAATTGATTAGTAAGTGCTTCTGTTTTTAATAATTGCTATTATAATAACAACAATTTAGTTCTGAGCAATTTACCCCTTCTCAGTTTTTATATTCAAATAAAAACAGAATATGAAGAACTACCTCAAATTGTCTCTGGTATTACTTATACTCAGATTTTCCTTGATTTTTCATTTATTTACACATATGCTTCTTTTGAAGTGATTAAACATCTAGACATTATTAAGAGACACGCTTGTAAGCTGTCTCATTCTGGTATCAGAAACTCATACACTGTCTACATAACTGACTAAGTTACGGAGGGCTGGAAGAAATGATTTTTTTCTATTGAGAGCCTGAAATAAGAAGTCATATCATATTTCCCGGTTATCAGGCTTTTATCATTAATGTTTTGCCTAATGATTGACCTACAGCACTGCTCCACACAGATGCTCAAATAGTCAAGGCAGTAACTCAAACATCAGCAAAGATTAATATACTCACAATACATTACAAATTAAAACATCAATAAGCCTGTACAAATATTCTAATGCTTAATAACTAACAGTTTCTGACCATGTAAGGAATTCATGTTCTAGATGCAAATACTAGCTAATAAGGACCTAAAATAGATGCCATTATGAAAATTCCTTTAGCACCATTTAATTCACAGACAAATTTGCCTAATCCCACATCTCACAAAGGTGCAATGGCTGCTTGTGCAACTGTGAAGTGCAAATTAAAATGGACACAATGCACAAAGCAATGCACATAAGCTAATCAAAGACCATCTTCAGCAGACTGGACACTGAAGTCTCAGAACATTATCAGAAGTTGAACTGAGAAGCTCAGTAAGAGACACGAGGTTTAATCCTTCATTTCAGATGCTGTAGCAACACACTGGGCCAGGGGAAAACAAGCCTTGTGTTTGCTGAATCCAAAAGAAAAGGCCTGGAAGGTATGAACTGCAGAGAGAAACCACGTATCACCAAGGCAGCAGACACCTGTCTTCATTGGTTTCTCTTTTAAACAGAAAGCAACAAACACTAGATAAAACTAGTCCTGTTCTGAAAGGTAACAGTAACCATCTGGTTCTTAAAGCTGGTTCTTGAACCAGCTACTGCCACGCTTTAAAAAGCTTCCAAACAGACATCTCACCAAGCTGGAGAGGTTCTGAGCAAGAGCATTCCTAAAGCTATCCGAACTCTGAGAACTGTAAAATGAGAAACTCCCTGAGTCAGGGATAGGATGTCTGGTACCAAATGTGCTGAACCCTGAGATAGCCTGGATGTCTCAAGTTCAGAGGAATAAGAGCATGGAGCCACAATGTCTAAAGAGACAAAGCACAAGAGGAAGTTGAATACCTACTCCCTCAGGTAAAAAAAAATGTTCGACAGAAACTACTTTAAAGGCTATTTTCTAACCTCTTACTTATTCAAAGGACGCCTTCCTAATTATCTGAATTACTTTTCCCCTCTCATGCAACTCAGAGGTTTGTTCTTGCCATAAGACAAAAACAAAAAACCAGCAGAAGAGCAATCATCTCTATGTATGTTTCCAAAGAAGAAAATACAATTGACAAGCGTTGCAGAAATCTAGTTTAAAAGTCTGATTTTAAAATAAATTAGCTATTTATATAATAGGATTAATAGTGTAACTAGTGTTTCAAATTAGCATTTGAGCCACTTTTAATTTCATTTCTGCAATGTAACAGCAAGAAGTACATTACAAAAAATTACAGTAAGAGAATTGCCACATTTCTTCTATAATCTATTTAAATAACTTCTCACATAGTGCCTGTAACTGAAGGTCTCTTGACAAATAGAGCGAAATAAAGAAAATGAAACATTTCCAAGGTTATTTACTTTATTGTTACTTCAGTTCAAGTTCCAAACTCCCACAATCATTCCTCTGTATCTGCATCAATATAGCCTTCTCATTTCTGGAAGAATCAAACATTTACACTTGTACAGAGGAGATGATTTGTCTTTTAGTGATGCTATTTGGTACATGTCTATCAGTGCTTATTGTACAACTAGTGCCTCCCAAGCATCAATTAGACTACAGAGAACATGAGACCACTGAACAGATATTAATTCCAGTCCATAACTAGACACCGCACAAGAGCCCCAAGACAGCTGAAGATACCATGATTTTATTTCAAATAACCACGGCACTGGGCAAACAGAACGCCTCAGAGCCGTTGCATAAAAAACACCCCTAAGCCTTCAAACCAAGTGCTAAAATCTTTTGCTATGGTGTCATAGTTTCCATGTAGCTGCAGACATCAGTTGAGATGAAGAGACATGTTTGTGGCTCAGTCAAAGAAACCGTAACTTTTCAAGGCAGACTTCCTACAGATTTGCTACTTGTCCTTCTGCCTAGAGACTGATGCTGTTGCCTGTCTGGATCTGACACGATTTGATGCCCTGCTATAAATAGCGCTCTCTTTACACCGGAAAAAGACGTGCTTTGTCAGTTTCTTTTCAAATATTACCAGTGACTCAGCTATAGCACTGCCATTCTTCCTCAAGAACTGTACTTGATCCCATTCTTCCCAGGTTCAAAGTCTGGACAGGTCTAGAGAAAGATGTTCCTTTTCTAGTAACGTACATTCCTACCAGCATTACCACTAACAAGACAAACTGGTTTCAAAGTGGGCATCAGATGAGAACAAGATCTGTTGTCTTACCTTTCCAAACGATCCCTGACCAAGAACCTTTAGTAGTTCAAACTGTGCTGGATCTGCTTTCTCACATCCTTCTTTCACGTGATGGGTAATGGGAATCTCTTTCACACTTCCTTCATCCTATTATTTCAAAGTAAACAAGACACAACAATGAAAAGTCCTAAATTAATCGTCTCTTATACGAACTGCAAGTAAATGCTTGCTTTTCTTTTATTAAAATATTTGAAGTTGTAATAAGGCCTAAAAGAAAGCTGTTCAAAAGGGAAGGCTTCCATCCATACTTTCCGGAACAGATGCCCGTTTAAAACTTCTAAACTGAAATCAAGTTCTCATACAGTTGAATAGCACATTTCCTCTAGTCATAAATGTTACAACTAGAGCAAACATGAGTTTTCCTACATGAAAAAGAACACACAGATTTTTAAACTAAGTCTGAGATGACCCTTCCGTGCTTTACCTTTGCTTTAGCTGCCTTTCATTTTCCCAGCGAGTGCTCTTCTCATCCTTTCCTTTCCTGAAATAGTCTTAATGAAAGCTAAATTGAATTTCGTCATTTTACATAATTATTTTTTGCAGCAGCAAGTAATAAATATGGTCATCCAGTACTCTAGCTAAAGGACTCCATGTTGTTTGAAGACCATAAATAATACATGAATCATGTATTCTCACGTACAGATGAAAGGATTCTCAACAGAAGAAGTGCTCTCTAAGGTACAGGGCTCATGGAAAAGCTTCTGTGTGGCATCCTCCCTCAGAAAGCTGAGGGCAATGCTAAGAGGTAGGTACAGATTTAGCGTTCTGTTGACCTTTTCCCTGCTGCCTTAGTCTTCAGCAAAGTAAGGCATAGCAGCTACAAACATGAAGAGACAATCACCCAGGATGAAAACAAAGCAGATTAGGTATTGCAGCTCTGTAAAACTTAGGGTCTAAGAAGTTTCTGGAAGCCAAACAACTGAGATGTCAAAATAAGCACCCTTCAAATTACACACCAAAGCCTGCAACAGCAACCTGAGCTTGCAAGCAGAAGGGACACAAGAGTACCTCTTGGTCCTAACAAAAATACCAATACATCTCTTGTGTGCAGCAAATAAAACCCAATCGCAATAGAAAATCCCACAAAGAGAAAAACAGCAGTACTTTAATGTCTTGAAGGTATCCAATTATTAGTTGTTCACCTATCTTTTCTTCACCTCAAAATCTTTTAAGTAAAGGCAGACCAGGGGAGAAAAAAGAAATAAACACCCCCCGCCCCCCAATCTACAGAGCATTGCTTTCCTTCAAAAAGGAATACAGCTGCCACCCGACACAACTGGACAGAAAACTTCAAATGACTGCTTTAAAAAAAACATCTTCCTATGGTTGGCTACAGGAAGACCTGCAGCTTAAGACCATTCATGAAAGCTTACAATCAACATTATCGGACTGAAACATATCAAGATGCAGTTCTCTCCGTCACATGATTCATAAGATCCAGACAGAAATCTGAACGTCCAGATGTGGATGCATTTCCTCCAATAATGAGAAAAAGTATGGGCAATGTCTCTGTAAATTCACAAACCATAGAGCAGTGTTATTGCTAGAGTCCTTTCCCCTCCCCCAGCAGTCCTTGTTTCACTCTCTCTCAGGGAAAAGGCCTGCTTCCCAGACACAGGTAGGTGTTAACAGAAGGCACTGCTGCATAACAAAGTGAACTCTCAAATTAATACTCTAAGCTACTTTACTTCCTCTTACTTCACAGAAAAACAGCTGACATACACTGATGTTACAGTGCATACATCCCAGTTTTATTCTATCCATCCATCTTGCTGACTGTGCAGATATTATTTACATTAAGATTATTATTATTTTTTTTAATAATCCACAACCTTGGAAAAATACTAGCAGTTTATATCACCTGATAACAGAAAGCAGCAGTTCCTGTTATATACCAGGCTGAACAAGAATATTAACTGCTAGTTCTTTCTATGAAGCATGTAAACTCTCTACTCAGAAGTTCTTTTTTTTTTTAGCTCAACACCTTAATTTGTATTGCTTAATACCATGAACTTTTGCGTGAGAAAAGATATTTAAGAGTTTCTCTATTCTTTCATTTATCACCCACCTCCAGTCATTAGCCTGTGATGTCACATTTTGGTTGCTGTGGGCACAGTATTTCTAAACGTGACTGAGGAGAAAAATGTTTTCAATGCAAATAAAGACTAACTTGAGATGTATAAGATGAATTATTTTTATAGGTAGCTTTGCCTTTATGAAGGATGTCTATAGTATTTTAGCTACTTAACTCTCATTAAAGCCCTAGAAATTGACATGACTGAGGTTTAAGAAGATCTCTGCATCATCTACAACAAATGAGCAGATAGAATTGAACAGATATACAACAGATATACAAGCCAGTTTCACTTCCACTTCTAGTTTGGTCTCTGTCAACTGCAAACTCAGTTCTGATGTGCTCTGCTGCTCAAGTAGGAAATCTGCAGGGTTCAGGTACCTGTCCTCTGTGAGCTGCCTTGCAAAAGAGGTATCTATTCCCAGCAGCTTACACAGAAGACAAAGCGCTGAAAGAAATGCCACAATCAGTTATGGCTTTCTGCCATCTTATTAGTTACAGCTTGACTGGTATGTAGCTCCAAGCACCTAACAAACAAGCTCAGCAACATCCTTCTGGTTCATGTGCAGTGAAAGACTGACACACAGCCCACTGCTCATCTTTCTTTGCTATGTGAAAGATGATGACCAGGCAGAAGGTTTATTTGCTTACTCCATACCAGAAAACAAACAAGCATCATGTTTCTATCTCCAAGTTTATTCCCCAAATCACTTTATTAAAAATATATTACTGCAATACAAAGCAACGTGCAAGATTTACTTGATACTTTCTTCGACAATTCTGTTCAAAAATATCAAGATGAGTATGCTCAAAAATGGCAGACAGGTTTTCCATGCAAAGAACAACGATCCTCAGCATCTCCTGAAAATGCAAGTTACTGAGGCACTGGTCAGAAGTCCTGCTAAACAAGGATTAGCCAGAATATTTCTACATAAATGTGAAATGAACATATTGTTACAAAAATGAATTGCTACCTTCAAAATAAATGTTAGCAACCACATTACAAGAAACACACCATTATCTGTTCTTCTGTAGCAAGAGAAGCACTAAACACACAGTGTATTAAAGGTTCAAGGCTGGACTGAGTATTTCCTGAGCTTGAGAGATCCATCAACGCTCTCTTCAGTACAGAGGAACTGCCCTCCATAAAGCACTGCCTCACATTGCCAGCTTTCTCAAACAAGCCATTTAGGCCTCCACCCAAATGCTGATTTTCAAAATCTTAGAGACAGAATCTCTTCACATCTGGTCAAATAAAATGACAAGTTCCAAATCCACAGAACAGACAACATATACATTTCTCTTCAAAAGAAAGTTATGCTAACAAGTGTTTAAGCTGAACATCTATCAAATATACTTACATGGTAGGAATATGGTTCACCTTCTTCCATAGGCTCATCTGCCATTTTAAGGCCATTTAGCTGGAGAGGAGAAGGAGAGGGATAGAGGATAGAGGATGAAGAAGAAAAAAAACAGTAAGATAAAATACTTTTGAAAAAAAAAACATAGTTAATAATTTGACTAGTTCACATTTTACAACACGAGAAATTTGCTGGTCTCCGTTCTGTAATTTAAAAGTTCAGTTTTAAACAAGAACTACTACTACTTTTTATAGATCCCTTTGTAAGTATCACTTGAATTAGTTTAAAATTCCTTCTCTAAGAACTGCATTCATACAAAATGATGATAACACAAAATTCTTCTATTCTGCACAAAATCTGTGTCGCGGATGCTTTGCAGAAACCTAAACTCCTGCAGTCTGCTGCTGAAAATTAAGTTCCAGTTTAAACAGAAAAAACACCAGAAGCAATTTTAAGGGGCAAGGACATGCACTAGAGAGGGTAGAATGGAATGAGTACCCCAGAATTCTTACTTTGCAGAAAAAATATTACCTATTTCTGTAATTAAAAAACAATGATTCCTCTAAAAACGTATCAGCAAAGACAATTTAAATACCTAGCAAACAAAGTATTCAAACTTTGGTGGAGTACTTTAAAAACTACAGATCTGTATATTAAAATATTGGTTGGTTGATTACCAAAATAATACCTTCAAGTGGCAAAAGGTACGATATGCCTCTGGAGAGAAGCAAATAAGTGGCATGGTCTTAAATGGGAATAATCACAATGCCCCTACTTCAACCACCATTAAAAAAAAAAACAAACAATCCCATTGTCAGTGTAGAAAAAAAGTTTAATTTATAAATTGAGTTCTTGAGCTTAAGGTCTTCTTATGTAACAAAGAATTTGATGGTGTTTAACAACTGAAAAAAATATAAAAATTAAAGGACATGCCTTGTTTCAGCACCCAAATTATAAACTGGAAATACCTGATAAAAATGGGTGAAGCCAGTTATGGATTTTGCTAGTGATAATTGCTAATTTGTTTATGTTAAATGCTCAGCACAACTGCCTTCATGTGGCACAGATCCCACATAAGAAAATACTAAATAGAAATCAGACACACAAACTCGAAACTACCTTTTGCTTGACAACAGGAGCTGAAGCAAGTTCTTGACTAGGTGATGACATATTTGTCTTCTGAATTTATCTAAAATGCCTAAGATACCAAAATACAGTATAATTTCCAGTATGTGGATGGGTAAAACACAGGATTACAAAGAATCTCAAAACACTGTACAGACCCTGCCTGTTTAAGAACAGAACAGAAAACCTGACAGACGAGTCAGGCTGAAAGGACAGGTTTATGCCGCTGTAGTTGCGTCATCTAAGCATACCCTCAACTACTTGCACTGCTCCTCCCAGAAGGGCTCTTCATTTCAAGCATAGCTTTGAGAGCCTAAATTTGACCTCAACGCCTTTCAGAGCCTTTAGAGTCCTAAATTAATGACTTTGATACACTAGATCTCCAACTTCCGTATCAAGATGCTAGCACTTATTTTTAGACTACATTCTCACTGACAGAAGTACACAGTATGAAGCTTTGGTTATTCCAGCTCTTCTTTCTATTTCCATTTATCTTAACCATAGATAGCACACACTACTCACATTAACTACAATTCCAGATGAGTATATAACAGAAGATCCATCTGCTTGAACAAGAGCTGGCATATTTAGCTTTTGTTGATCATGTACATGCATCATGCATCGCCCCCCGATCCCTCCAGGGGATTCACAAACTTATTTCACTGGATGCAGAAACCCTGCACACACTACAGAAGCCAATGCATTTCTTGTGCTGCATAACTTCTTTTTGCATGCCTTCTTTCAGTTAGATACTTGAAAAGAAAGGAACACTCACTAGACTTAGTAATGAATTAATTAATTGCAAGATGCAAAAGTTCAGACCAGATACAAATGCCAATCTCATTTCAAATGCCTCAGTGCTATCTGATTTATTTTCACAATTTTCATAGAATACATTCAAATGTAAACTAACATGATGCCCTTCAAAGTTGCCCAAAAAGCAGCAAGGAAAAGGGATTCCACTCTAGGTATTCAGAAATATGACAATTCCTCGCTCAGACTTGCACTTCATTTACTGTGCATTTTGACTCTTTACATAAGGTAAACATTTTCCAAGTTTTGTTACTAAAATTTCAGCTGTGGAACCAATATTATTGGCCACCAGAACTGCAGATACACAATGAAAACAGTAGCTTAACTCCAGATAATCTCACTATTGCTGCTGGAACAAGCTTATGAATCAAAAACCCGTATGCTATTTGATCTGCTTAGTTTCTGAGCATGCCATGCAAGCATACTTTCAACTTTATAGCAAATCAAATACAGTAAGTTAGTGGACTTTTATGGCAGGTAATCAGATGTCATCTTAATTAATAATTTCCTATCACACACTTTCCCCCTTCATTGTTGCTTCCCCCCCCTCGTCCAGTCTCTTTACAATTACAAATACTGGGATGCCTGCCAACCTTGAGTCCAAAGAATTTTATGTTCGAGCACATCAATCTACTTTCATTGCCTGACAGACATACAGACAACTATATTTCTGGCTTAGTTGTTTGTGAATCCTGGTCATCATCCATTTAAAGGAGAAAAAAACTAAACACACCTGTCATATCACAACCCAAGGGCTAGTAGCTTAAAGAAATCACAAATTTGTTAGTTGTTCAGTTAAAAAGTATTCAATGACAAAAATCAAAATATTACTACTCTGCCTAATTACTTCTATTGGCCAGGCTTCAGTAACTAGAAGATTTCACTGCCTCTCACATTCTACAAAAAGAAAAAAAAACCTAATACTCAATTCCCACCTTTACAGAAAAAAAGTACAAAATTCTGCTTCTTCAGCCAAGTAAGATCAGCTTTAGTGATTTAAACACAAATGTTTATAAACAAACATACAAAGCACAGATCTATTTAAACTTTTAAGTGTGTAATTACTTCCTGAACATCTATGAACACAGAAATTGACTTTATTACTGAGAATTAGAAAACACTCCCTCTTTGTAGAGGCCAGACGAAAGGAAGCAAGTACCAGTTTTCTGAAAGATGCTTTCATCCTTGAATCATTTTACTGTTCAATATTTCTGAACTTCTACAATTAGCCAAGCATTTTGAAGATTAACTTGCACTAAGATAAAAACTAAACTCAGACACTGAGGCAAACAACGCCAACGCTTTCCAAATAGAAACTTTCAAAATTAAATACTCCACATCGCTGATCAGTATAAAGATTAACAGAAGTCACTACATAGAGAGATGAAAACAAAGCTGAGGTCAGACAAGGTGGCAGGTAAGAAGCTTACCAGAGGTGCAGGCTGCGACCCAATGCTGTAGTGCCGATTTCTCTCTGAGTTAGCTCAGCGTAACCTGCCTTCTAATTTAATGCAATGGTCTCATGACTTGTTGGAACTACACCGTATTACCTCAGGAGAATATCTAAACTTCTGAGGGCTAGTAATAGGTTCGCATAGTATTGCACATACTTTCCCTCAGACAATTATGGCAGGGCAGAGGAATCTCAGAATTACCAAAGATCTGAACTACCTAACTCAATATATGTTTTTCATACTGAGGACATTTTAACTGTTTACATGCTGAATGTATCATGGTTTGAGAGGCCAGTAAATTCAGGCCAGACAAATGGTCACCAAAAGCACCTCACTGCAGTGAAAAACAGCATGGCATAGGACACACTTCACCTCCCAATTTACAGATGTATTTCCTGAAATGCTTGTGCCAAGATGTTAAGAGAACAAGCTTATGTTACAAGCCCCTTATTCTCTTATTTTGAATTACATCTGCAAAGAGTTTGCATTGCTAATTTAATTAGCAGCAAACTGGTTACTGAAGTGCATTTCATGAGTCTGAACTAAGAAATTTTGGGTTTCCACGTACACTCAAGCAGATAGATATTTCAATACTGATTTTAAGCATTGTCTGAAAAGTTTAGGAACTGAAGTTTAAAGTAACTCATTCTTACTATAAGACATCCACAACTTCCCAATGCAATAGATATTATTACTACAGATTTTTGTTTATATTTTAACGCCAGGCATCATTGCTGTACACATATGGGTTACATTCAGGGCTCTTTGTTAGCAGGGCTCACACGCCCGCAGGAGGGACAAGGCACACACCTCAGGTTGTGCACAGGGCCAGGCCGCGCTGAAGGCCAGCAGGCCTGGGTTCCCCTGCCCTGCTGCAGAGGCCAGACAACTCACGCCCACATTAAATATATCAGTGGCACAGGGAGACAAAGCCATCCACCATTAAAAAAAAAAAGAAAAAGTGTTCCTAATTTCATAATTCCTAGGCAAAGTTACAGAGCTCTTCTCCTGTGGTGAATGAAATGTACATTCAGACAGGCTAACAAACCTTCAGCAACATGTAATTACTGATTTTAAGGGAACATTTTGATTCTCTCCATTATCAGATGCAGTACTTGCTACCGCCACGGCAAGCCAAAACCCCAGCCATGAGCACAGGGACTGCCAAGTTCACCAAGGCCTGCAGCCCCTGACACCGCTGCCTGGCAGGGAGCAGGCTGCAGCTGCACAGCCCAGCGCATAAAGCAGCAACTCAGTCATTTTTAGATAGAGCACTGATGGAAACAATGTATTTCAAGTTTTATTCTTGATGTAATGAAGCACAACATCCACATACATACTGAACTTCTATTCATCAAAGCTAACAAGTTGCAGAAATCTAGAGGGATGGGAAAGATTGCAGGGATGAGCTGAGCCACCTCAGCTGAGCCCCAGCCCTTCTGGAGACTCAGAACTCGTCCACAGCTATGTTCCAAAGCAATATACCAAACACTATCGCAGCACTTTCCAATGCAGAAAGACATTAATTGTTTTCCATTTAGGAGTGTTACTGTGCTTACTTCTCTCATCTTCATTTAAGGCACTTCTTTCTTGTAAATCTGTAGGAAGACTGGACACTGCTGTAATGGCTGAAGGCCCTCAATTCACACGTTATGTGCAACTACGATTACATTTTTTTTTCTCCTTAGCATAACACTGCCTAATTGTGGAGATTTCAGAGATACACAGAACTAGGTAGCTGAGTCATCCATGTCACTGCCAGTAATTACTCACAAAGGAGTTATGCAACTCCTAGCACTGACAAAATTCTGTGGCCTTTGACAGACGAGGATCTGAACACGCTTGAAAGGATGAACTAAGAACACGGACATGTCAAAGATATGTTGACTTAAATTGCCACGGACAGACTACATACAACAGCAGCAACGCTCAACTCATGAGCTCGCCTTTAAGAAGGCTGCAGAGCCCAATGCAGCCCAGATTTCTAGCTGAATGCTTTTATTTCCAGTCACTTTGCTGTTTCAGACCTTGCCGTTCTTGTCACTTGCAGACAATTAGACAATTAACTTTAGAAGTACTTGCTTCAAAAACAAATAATTGAATATGAGGTTGCCTTCACGTAATTCACACTATATATACATCTCTTATTTTAAATGCATGCAACACCACTTCTATTAAATAAGCGGAAAATTCAAAAATTACTGTATTCTGCTTAGTTCTGACTACTTTGACATTTCATTGGTTTGACCAATAAGATGTTATCAGACACTTTCTTGTCTCTTTGTAAATTATGCTTATTTTCATAATCCACTACAGTTGTTAATAATCAACATTTCCGTTGTATTTTTTCTTATGACAGTGAAAATACTCAGCAATCCTTTATTTGGAAGGAAACAAGTTCACTCAATGTTTCAAGCTTAAACTGAATGACACTAGCTCTTTTACCTGTGCTTAAGGAATTACCATAGCTAAGGAATTGCTTCACCAAGGGGCACTGTGAAACATAAGGAACATTAGACAAGAACTTCCATGGTGTGCAGTCCCAAAGTTCAGCCTCAGCACTTCAAAGAAACCCAACATGAAAAAGTACAAAATAATTCAATCCTAAACTTCCTCCAAAAGTTCATGCTGCTTGTACACCCTCAAGCATGAAAGTTGTTTCCTACCTTCAAGATCACATTCTTCCCTTGCCAACTGTTTTTAGCTCATCAAGTTGTCACAAGTGCTTCTTCACTGGAAATGCACTTATTTCTAATAAAGTAAACCTAAATTTAGTCAACAAACATTCCTTGGAGAGCACTGTTTCTCCAGTTTTTCCTCCTATGGTAAAACTAATGGAGGAGAGCTCTAGTAAACAAAAGTAAGTTAGTCTTTAAAATATAAAACAATTTCTCAGTAATACTATTTGACCATAGCTCCAGCACATCCAAGGTCACCTGGACCTATCAAATTGCAAACATATGGTTATATGAAGCACTGTAAGCAATAGTTCATTTTTGAAACACGAATCCAAACCAAGTCACCTTTGTTAAATCTTCAGAACCAACTAACATAAAAGTCCAGCAAGTCAGAAGCACTACCCTCAGAACCACCTGAAATTAAGTGTTATGACAATAGTGGTTATTTTCTAATGTAACTTGGGAACATCCTATGCAACCTGAAGAAACTGTTTTTTGTATAGATGAAGTCTTAAACACCACTAGCCAAATGTAACAAGGACATGATGTCTCACTTTAATCACAAGCACAACTGAAACAGTTTTAGGAAGATACTGTTAGGTAAGCAGTTCGTGTATGGGCTTGAGAAAAGCGCAATTTAAACAGCAACTGTTGCAAACACAGAGCTGTTTGTTGGACATCCATCACTCGATGCTCCCCCCGCTAGGTGGGCCCGCCAATCCACCTGTCAGGTGTTCTTGCCACTTTGCCAGCTGCCAACACTGCACTCAAGGCAAATCCTGGGCCTGAGCTGCATGAACACAGTGCTCTGGAAGCAGTGCCAATGGTGGTGCAGAGGTGTTTGTTCAGCCAAAATATACTCTGAGATGGGCAATAACCATGTTTGAGGTTCCAAGTACAGCACTTGAAGTTTAAACCTGAATGTATTGCAGTACTCTTAAAGAGCAGCTGACCATGCCAACTAAGTTCTCAGATATGCAGTAAGCCTCATGCCTGATCTGCAGCATACTATTTTTACAAAGCCCTAATAGTAACAAATAAGCTTTAATACTCCTGGAGACTTTTTAATCCCTACCTGTAGCTTCACTAACACAATTAGGATGTCTATTACTGAGCTACATGGATTGCGTTAACTATGAGATCATTAGAATATTTAAAGTGCAGCAGCCACAGCATAGAAATGTGCATCCAGTAATTGCAGTGCTTGAACGCGGCATTCTGTAGCCACAGCAGTAAAAAAACTAACGAAATAAATCCAGAATCTTGAACTTCCTGGCATTAATCCCATTGTGAATTATTGTGTTTTCCTTTTCATGCATATACATTGATACTATCAGAGAAGCAAATTTCAATGTAGACTTTTAAAGGCGATCATGTCACTTGTCCCAAAAGTGGAACACAGGTCTACTTTGCACACAGCTGCACACAGGACTGCTACAGACCTCTCACCCATGGTAAGACAAAGACTCCTGCATCACAGAAAGCAAGTCCGACCAGTTTGGAGCAGCTCTGTTTAGATAACATCTTTCATGTGTCTAGTGCAGCAAGGAGCAACCTTCCACTTGTCATACCTGACAACACAGCAATGTAATCCCACGCTTCTGATTTACAAGTGCCTTAGTTTCAATACGTGAGTGCTGCTTTCTGCTTGAGGTAACACATGACTGGAGCACGAAAGCCGTGCCAGCTCAAAGACTGCATTTGGCTCTCACTTCTGGACACACACACCGAGGTGCAAACACCTCTGGATCTGTTCCTATTTATGACCCCGTGCTCTTAGCCGAGCACAAAGGGACACCAGCACGACGTTAGCAGAACCAGATTCCCAGAAGTTGGACCAACTTTCCACGGTCGCTACGACCAACAAAACTGAGCCGGATAACAACAAAAGCTCCCGAGCCGCGCCGCACCCGGCACCCATAACTACAGGGACGCGCAGCACGCCGGCTCCCATCGCAACCCCACGCGTGTGCCCCCTCAGCGCTCAGCCCCGGGGGAGCGGAGCTTTGTCATCACTTTCCCAGCCCAGCAGCCGGCGCCGGGCACGGCTCGGGCCGCGAGGAAGTGGCGTCGGCCGCGGGCGCCGGCGGAGGAAGCGGCGGGGCCGTGCCGGGTACGCGGGGGCGAGAAGGGGTACTGGCTGCGGAGGTGCGCCGCGCTCCGCCCGCCCTCCTCCTCCTCCTCCTCCTCTTCCACCCCTTCCTCCACCTCCTCCGCCCGCCCCCGGCCCGGCGGCTCCCACGCGGCCGGGCAGAGGCAGGCAGGTGCCCGCGGGGAACCTCCGCCCCGCCCCGCACTGACCTCGCCGCCGCTCACGTACAGCTCCATTTTGCGGCACGGCTCCGGCTCCTCCACGTCCTCCAGCGGAGCGCACGGCACCATGTCCCGGCTCTCCCCTGCCCGCCGCTCTCCTCCTCAACGGGGGAGCCGCCGCCGCCAGCCGCCTCTGCGCATTACCCCGCGGCTGCCGGAGGGACGGCTGGAGGGAGGGCAGACGGGCGGGCGCGGCGGGCCCCCTGCCCACGCAGCGCGGCGGAGCTCGGGCTACTGCTGCTGCCGGCCGGCGGGGGCGGCTCCGCTCTGCGCTCCCCCGCGCACACCCCCCAACATGGCGGGCGCCGGGGGCGGGGCCTGCGCGGCACGGGGGTGACGTCAGCGCGGGACGGAGAATCCCTGCATGGCGAAGGGCGGGGGAGCGGTGACGCGCGGAGCCGCGCTGAGGAGCGGGGCGGGGGGAGCGTCCGTCAGGGCCGCGGTGGCGGCTCCCGGGGCTGACGGACGAGGAGCGAAGGCCTCCAGGTCGGCGGGAGGGCTTTTAAAGCAAGCAAAGTAGTGCCAATAAAGGTGTGGAACAAAGCCGTCGTGCTAACGATGAAGTCACCCGGCCGAGAGGGTCGTTGTCCCCTCGGGTTTCTGTCTCCGCCCACGGAACGCCGCAGCACCTGCGAAGCTCGAGGCGCCCGCGTTCCCCTCGGGCAGCGCCGCTGAGGGAAGGCGGGCTGTGGGATGCGCTCGATCGCACCAGCGCGCAGCCTGAGGGGAGAAAAGTTTTCTGTGGGCCGATTCTTTTTTCTTTTTCTTCTTCTTCTTTTTTTTTTTCCTTCTTTTCCTCGTAATGCAGAGATGGCAGGGAACGAAGCAGGCGCTGCAGAGCGGGAAGACGCGGCACGGCCGCAGGGCCGCCCTGCTCACACCGCGGGCGCCTTCGGCTGCGGGCACGCGTGGGGAGGGGGCGGCAGCACCGCACCGAGGGCGTAAATAAAAGAGCGTGGGTAAAAGATAACATTTTTCCATCTCTGTTTGATGCTAGGAACTGGGGAACGTTAGGTAGCGCTACCAAAAACACCCATCTTTAAGGACAGCAAGCTGCCTCAGTGACACTGAGTGGCTGTTTAGGCACTGCGCGGTTTCTCAGTGAGCCCTGCCCTTCTGATACGGCTAGCAAAGAAAGTCTCAAACTGCTCTTAACTGCCAAACAATTGTGAAGGAATTAGCATGACCGACAAAATGACGGTGCACGTCAGAGTCCTGCGCGCTTTCCCTCGCTGATCTTCTAGTCAGAGGTCAGGCACGGAGCAAACAAGAATAAGGGTACAGATGCTGCCCTGCTGCCTTGGTTAAACGAGAGCAACCTGCCTCGCAGCTCGCCACTTCAGCCCCCGCCGCAGCCTGCTGAAGAGTTGCCTATTGTGAGTGTGTCACTGCAGCACCAGCCAGCTGGCACGTCAGCATTTCCATTGCAAACCTATTTTTAAAGGTCTGTAACTCAACCATGGAAGACAAATGTTTTAGACTGAAACAGGGAATGTGTAGTAGGAATGCTCTTCAGAAAATAAAAAGCATATGGGAAAATGGAGGATCAAAGTTTGCACTACTTAATATTGAGAGAAAGTTTACGCTCTGTGGAACTGCATAGGCTTGGTCACCTGTAAGCATTGTATTTGTTTTAGTAGGATAATATGTACATGAAGCTTTCAGGGCAACTAAGTGATTGCAGAAAAAGGGACAGGCCCAGCTTTGTGTGCCTTGGTTCACATGCTGCTCCATACCCCAGTGCCACTCCGTGTTGGTGTTACTGGAATGCATCCTCAAGAATCCAAATGAGCAAACCATTTTTTTCTGTGAGATTAGATATGTTTGTACTTGAGCCGTGACTGAGACAAGTCCTAATTTAAATATACATGAATGGAAGAGAGAAGTGACTTTTTAAAAATGCTTGAGTGCTCAGCAAGAACTGTTACCTGAAAGTTGTACTATAGATGCTATTTCCCCACATCTGACTTTCTTTAATGCCCCCAAAGCTTTTTTTTAGCAGCTCAAACAGTGAGAGGCTGCAAACAACTACTCTGCACCCAAGAAGTCCTTAAGTTTGAGAAGTTCAGAAGAAAGCAATGATCAAAGCAATTGAGATTGACAAAGACTATACAAAGGAAATTATAATATGTGTAGATATGGTAATGACTGATTCAGAAAAAGTAAAGTCAAAATTTCTTTTAGGCTGTCTCACGACTAAAGAAACAAAAGATACTAATTAAAAAGACAACAATATATCACTGAAATTCAAAAGTTGGCAAGATCCAAAAAGGTTTCAAGTGAATATTTAAATTGTATATGTATTTTTTCTGTTCCTGTTTTTTTTTTTTTTTTTTTTTTTTTTATCTCACTCGTGTCCATGACTGTACAAATATCAGATTTCCTTTGGTGTGCAACTTTCAGGTGAGGATATTGGATCTCATTTGGTGTGCAATTTTCAACTGAATATTTTTTACATTTCAGAACCTTAATTTGTTCAGGAGGTTCTTTCTGTTATGTTCCTCAGCATGATGTCATATGGTCATCTGGACATTATAACCTTTTTTCCTGTCATTTAGTAGATGAAGGTTTGAAAGTAATTGGTTTCTAAAAAATATATTTACTTTAAAATTAATTATATGACAAGGCAAAGTTGCTGAGAACACTTTTCTACCTAGAAATTCTAATAATAATAAACAGGATCTGTAGCAAAAATTCACCTTGTTTGGTGTGAATAATATGAACTCCAGTCCCTCAGTTGTCTTTTTGTAGACTTCATAACTGTGGCTAACTCACAGCATCATCCATGCTTAGTTTGCTTATTCAATTTCCCTGAAAATATCCGTCATGCGTTTGAAAATATGAATAACAGATTATTTATGAGATGAAAAATCCCTGCATATCAAATCCTCTGTATATCACTCCTAGCAGTACATCTCTCAGAGAGGTATATTACAGAGCTGCACTATCTCCCAAATTTAAAATCAGTCTTTGTCAACCTTGTCCCTAGAGCAGATTCTTTCCTACAAACATTGTGTTCCTTCATCCAGCAAGTTTTCCAACAAAGGAAAAGTAAAAATATAATGATCAGGTCAGTTTCTTCTGTTCCCCTCCTCCTGCCAGTTAATGATATTGGAATCTGAACCATGCTAACCATGGCAAGTGCAGTGCAGCTCCACCCTAGAAAGCAAAGCAGAAAAAGTAGTGTGACTATGGGAATATGTGAAGAGTATCTAGCTCAGCAAGATCTCAGGAAGGAAACTATATAAAAAGCAAAGTTTGAGGAAACTGCCCAAGCAAAGGCTGAAGTTTTTGTTCTGTTCTCACTACAATGGTAAAGCTCCTGAAAGGGAGCAGATACAATTTTTTTTTTTTTTTTTTTTTTGGTAGGTTCTGTTTAAAGCAGGATATGAACTCTACTATTGATTGCAAAGGTGGTTTTGAGGTGGGTACTGTTAATTTTGTAGGGCAAGTTTATTCAAATTCATAATTATTTCACCTTTAATCTTTTGTATAATTCAACAGTACTTGCACTGTCTGAGCAGTACAACTCTTTCCTACTGTGTGGATGAATTTACGTGGGTACAAAGCATGCTTCTGTTAACAGAAGATTTGTCCTCTTAAAGAAGGAAAAAGAACTGTCCTGAGACACACAGAATGTTTAGTTGTGTGCTTGTGTCTATTCCAGAACTGTACCGGAGTAGGAACTGATCTACACAAAGCTCAGGTACTCTGGAGGTGTGCTCTCACACTGATGTAAAAGAGTGCAGTGTTTTCATTCTCAGTCCAGTGTCACAGCTGTAGCTGATTAACCTGTGGAGATTCTTTACACACAGCATAAATTGATCTGGTTCTGATAAGGTAAATGTTACAGCAAGGCTTTCATATTTCTATAGACTAATATAACAATGCCAAACTTTCTATATATTTTGATAAAGTTATGGAAGAGTATAATCAGAAAATATTAAATCAATATTGAGTTTGTCTGAATATATAATATAAATGTGAGCCTATAACCCATTCTTTTTATACTGATATTTAAAAAATGCAAATAAAGCCAAGCTCACATATGTACTTATAGAGAAGTGATATAAAATATATTATAAACATCTTGATGTTATTAAACAGTTCATTATGTAGTGTGCCCCACCCTTCTGAGGAGAGAGAAGTCAATTACGTGAAAAACAGCAAGAGCCACTTTTCTGCTCAGTTATGGTTATGCTCACTGTATGAAGCACAAGTGAAGAGGCACTTACTGAATTCCTGCTTCAGCTTTATGATTACATTTTTACAATTACATCTTTTGTACTTTTGTAGCAAGTTTTCAAAAAGCCTGTTTATGCATAAGAATGCAAACCAATTTAAGTGATGACATTCATAGTTCAGCACCTTGAGAAAGTTCCTTGCTACTTGCTATCTCACTCTCATTTCTCAGGCTATTACATAGGAGTAGCCAGCTAGCCCCACAAGACAAATCTGGTAGCAAATTTTACCACTTTTATCCAAAAGGAGCTAAAGAAAGTTCTCAGAAAACACAGTGTATTTCTGCTGGTCACACTGCATCAACAATAGGGAAAAAGTCAAATAGGCACAGCAAGTGAAACTTCTGCTAAACATTTTACGTCTGTGTAAATTTCTTTTCTTCACTTAATACTTTGGAGTTGTTCTTCATTTCAAAATGCATTTTGAATTCAAATATCTTGCAATATATATATATATATATATATATATAATTTTTTTTTTTTTTTTTTTGCAAACCTGGGTGAGTGCTTCAAACCAGCCAAATGACACATCTCAGAAATTGTATACAGTCAAACCAAAAGCTGCAGACAGTCACGTTAGAGATCCAGTGTCCTGTCTCTAACAATGGCCAAGAAAGCAGAGGCCAGACAGAAAATATAAACAGGGTGAGCAATACCTAACAATAATTCTCCAGAGTTTCATTTCAGCCTCCACCATTTCAGGTTTTTTGAACCCTGGATGTATATATATTATGCATAATTATTCTTGATTGAGATTTCTTCCATGAATTTACCCAAGCTGCCTTGTATCTCTAAATTTTTAGCAACAATAACTTCTCATCAGTTCCACATCTGTACCTTATCTAAAAAATTCTCAGTTTAAGCCTACTGCTTAATTTCATCTGACGTTTCCCAGCCGTACATTGCAAAGGAGAGGGATTAATCACTCTCACATTCACACTGTTCATGATTGTATGTGTGGTGTATCTCCCACCTTTACCATCCTGCTGTGTTCTTCTCTGTTGCCCAGGCTAAGATTTCTGAGCTGTTTAGTCAGTCATGAATGAAGGTAGGGAGAATCCAGTTTCTCAGTACACATTTTCACTAGTGATCTGGAAGTAAATATAAAATAGCTACCAATAGCGTGCACAAATTACAAAGGGAAAGGAAAGTAATGAGCAGACATTAGCTATCAAAGTCCTCTGGGGAATGACAAACAACTCAAAGCAAATTACAGACTTCCACAAGGATTGGATAGACAAGCAACAATCTGGTGAAGAGGGAGTTTATTTTACTTCCATGAGCACCACTGCAGAGACAGAGAGTATAGTTTTGGAGTCTGTGCTTGGAAAAGCACAGCAGCAAACCACAGAAATACTCTAGCCTCTACTTAAAGACATACTGTGGAAAAACCAAAAGGACCAGCTTTATCAAACCCATACTCATCAACCAGAATTTATTGGGTAGCTCAGTTCCCTTTCCAAGTACTACAGAAGAAAACTAGAGCAACTATATGGTATAAACACCTAAGCTTAGCTGAGGCAAATGCAGGCCAGAAAAAGTATTTACATATTAAAATGAATTATGACAACAGTCTGAACACACCAAGAGATGACAGATCTATACAAGCAGTTGATCCTGTTCTTTAAAACTTACTCTGACATACTTCAGTATTTTCCAAAACTTGCTTAATTATTTTTCTTCAAACCAGTTCGATACTTGAAGCTGAAGCCAAACCTAAGAAATCCAGCTTGAATTCACAGCCAATTTTACCTCAGAGCACAGAACAAACCATTATCATGTCCCAGCATGCAAATGTATCAAAAATGATGAATACTTGAGGAATTGATTGCACCTAAAATCATCATGATCCCAATATCCATGCCAGGTTTTGTGACGGCAGAGTGTGTTACTTTTAAAATGATCTGGAGCCAAAGCTGTTGCCAGTCCCTAGCTTTAGATAAGAACCTTTAGATAAGACAAACTACAAACTAGTATCATAATCATCTCAGGTGAAAAAAATGTTCCCATTTTGGAAGATTATAATTAAAGAACCATGCTTAGAATAATGTCTCAACCTGAAAAATTAAACAGGGACTTAGTACCTGTCAGCAGTCATTCCATGGTAGCAGTTTGTGTCTTGAGGCATAAATTTACCCGTTTAAAATATTAAATTTAGTAATTGTTTTCCCCTTGCTGTGGAACAAAAGGACTTGTCTGCATGAGTAATTGTGTTCCTGGTAATACAGAGTAGGATGCTGAATACCACTTCAGTCATACTAGTTTAGGTCTTCAGATAATTGCTGCAACAGTCGTACTTTCAGCATATTCACTCCTGGAGAAAATCACCACACCTTCCCAGCCCACTGCCGTTCTCCTGGCTTCTGTTGGTCAGTACAACTGGGATCGATTGCTATTTTTTCTCCACTGTTATCAAGGTTATTTTCAAGCAATCTTGACTTTGCTTCTGTCCCAGTTGGGACACAACTTGACTCATCAGTTCTTTATTTGGAATACACATCACATTTCTTCACTTCATCACTTCTCCCAGTGAGGTCATTTGTTTGTGGCCATTCAATACTTCATTCAAGTGCCGACTTCTTAATTTAATTCATTTTCATATTATCCTGCACAGAGAGTCTTTTTTAAAGGTACAGTTAAGACAAGTATCCATTATGCAAAAGGATGACAGGATATAAACATATGGTAAAAGCCAAGGACATTCTGAAATGTATTTCAGAACAAGTATCTGAAGCCCAAATTCTTTTACCAGAAAAAATGGTGAATGTATTCATAATAACATGATCATTCTCTAAGTAATTGCTATCAGGAATTTAATTTAAACCTCATTTGACTGACAGTCTTGTTTGCAAGGTATCTATTTTAGGAATAATGTCTTGCTAGTATATCTCTCTTCATCTTAGTCATGACTGATAACAGAATAATCATCTCAACTACTTTCCTTTTCTTTCCTTGCATAATGGCTTTACTGC